AAAAAAAAAATTTCGGACTTTATTTTATCTTCAAGGTGAAAATGGCTACCAAATGCTATTATTGTGTGAAAATTCTCAATTTTATTTTTTACATTTTTAACATTATAATGCTATAACTTATTGAAAAGTGTATTGATCAATATAATTTTTTTATGGGAAATACTATTTTCTAATAATCCCTTTTTCATTTGATATACTTTATCTTAATCAGGATAATAATAAGGAACTAGCAGATCATGTAGCTTTTGGAATAATCCAACAATTTTTTAAAATTAAACACTATCTAAAGATTTGCATCGAAGCGTTTTTTTTTTTATAGTGATTTTAATCACTGTCAGATATCATTATACTTGATCCAACTATGCCACGTCACCACTGTGCCGCGACCCCCCTGTGCTGGGTTTTTTTTTTTTATTTCATTTTTCTGATTAAGTAAAAATAATTAAAGTATTATTACCAAGTACCGATATATACATGTTTTTATAACATTTTCAAAATAAATTACTTACCATTAGTATTTTCATGATTTTGAGGGTTTCGATTCGCATAATTTTCAAAATCTAATTTTTTTTTAAGTAATAAAAAAAAAAAATTACTGAATTGAATATTACTATTTAAAAACAGTGATTTTCAACTTAAATTGAAATACTTACCATTACTATTTTGATGATGTTTATGAACATTTTTGCCACTAGAGCGAAACTCACCATCATCTACTTTATTATTTATTACAAAGAGAAAATTTATTAAAAACAGAAAAACTAAATACTAATAACAAGACTGAACTTACTAATTTCATCAATTTTTTTCTGAAAATCGAACACAAAATTAGTATTAGTTGGAGACCATGAAAAAGTCACTGCAGAAAAATACATTAAAATGAGTACAAATTGTGTAACCGTCATTCTTAATGTTTGAAAATTATAAGAGTATTATCCCCAAACAAAAAAAGTGCAATAATTCTAATGAACACAAAATCTTAAAAAATAAATTAATAAAAGGCTTGAACAATTTTAAAAAGTTTACACTAGTATCAGATATAACTGCGGTATATGTAGTTTAATATGTAACTGTCAAGCATATTCCAAAAATACACTACTTATTATTACCTTCTGTCACGTTTTGATCATTATTGACGTTTATTCAATTTTAAGTGGGAGATATGAAAATATTGAATAAGTGTTGCTAGGAAGGTTTACTAATACCGCGCTAAATTATAAATAAATAGTACATACCCCACTATGATAATGTTTAGTTGCTTCTAATCAAAATGTTGTGATGGAATTGTAGGCTTTAATTAGTTTCGGATTAATACAATAAGTAAAATAAATGTATATTATTTTGTAAATAATTAATCATCCTCAGGGAGGGAAAGAATAGTATATCTCCGGACAATATAAACAAATTATACAACTACAAAAGATCTGGAGTACTATTCATTACAATTATATAAGCATTTCTAACAATATAGAATAAATATTTAAGTAATAAAAAAACTTTATTCAGCTATTTATAATAAAGAATGATTTAGCTTTAGGAGAATTCCACTACCACCAATACTACCACTGGGTAGTATTCAGTCACCGTAACCAGTCAACTTCCGACCCCCCCCCAAATAAAAGTTCTGGGTCCTCGCCTAATGTATTATATATATATATATAATTATTATTATATCAGTCTCAAGAAAATGAAACAAATAAAAACTACATAATGACTATAATTTGTCTGTTAAATTTTAAGTCAATACTTGAATATGTATCATAATAACACGAAATAAAAAGACAAAAAATACTACCTATGGTGTATACGCATTTTATCGCAGCCTCTCAATAATAATACCACATGCAAATTACATTAAGATACAAGAAATAGATGTAGTATAATTATTAACCCATGTACTAAATATATCACATATATATGAATAAAGCAAAAATCATCTAAGGAATGTTTCCCTTTTAGGGTAAACAAAATAACCATTTTATTAACATATGTTTCAAACCAGTCCCCTATAATTCATTAACTACGCCCACATCAGGGTTTCTATCACAATTAACCAATCACAAATAATTATCCAACATCTCAGGAATTTCAATAGAGATCGCTGGCTTACTTCATCCGGCATATAAAAAGGCATTTTTCTCGTAAAATTGAAAGCTCTATCATCTCTCTCTCAACCCTCTCTGACGACGCTGGCAGCTCATGGTCAATATCCTCTTACATGGAATCTGCGTCAGTATAAGTAAATATTTTGTCCCTACGACTTAGTTTTTTTTTATATCATCCTAAATGGTGAACATTGTTTTAGATGATTTATCAATATTTTACCCACAAATAAGTTTTATTTATTTTTACTGTTACCTAATATTCTTATAAGAAATAAATATAGTTTTTATTTTATGTAATTTTTAAATATTATTGTGCCCTTCATTTCTGGACAGCCTTCAATGTGCCGAAAAGAGTGAAAAAGCGTAATTTGTGATTAGAATTAATTAGTCTTAGTAGTAATACCTTTGCCTGTTTACTCGCCAGCCATAAGGGACTATGCCAATTACCTTCTAGTAACGTGTAGGCAGTTGAGGTACAGAGTAGTACTAAATGTATAAAGAGAATATTTTTGAAGTGCGCTATATCCGTCGACAAGCCAGTTCTAGAGCTAGTAGTCCGGGTAGAGTTCATTATAAAATATATAGTTCGTAAGGTAGGAAACTACATCTTGGAAATATCCTCTGCGTGTCTACCTGCCAGCCATAAAGGACTATACCAATTACCTCTCGGTAACGTGTAGGCGGTTGGCGTAAAGGATAGTAAAAGGTGTATTGAAATAATATTTAATATATATTAACGAGATTAACTGTGTCCGCGCCAGCCAAGGCTTTACGCTGAGAAACGCTGGGCCACCACCACAGTCTTGTTAATTATATTTTGAATAAGATAGACATATTATTATAATTATATTTTGACAAGTTCAGAGTAAATTTTAAGAATATTGATATCGACTATAGGGAATTCATCGAAAATATTATTAGTAAAAACATAGTATAATATAAAAAGAATTTAAAGAAAATAAAAAAAAAAGGTAACAAATTATAATAGACACAGGTCCCATTGTAGAGAATCCTTTTTCTAAATCTAATATACACAGATGGACTAATTAATCGAAATACACGCAAGACACTATAAACGATTGTTGACACTGAAGGAAGAAATCACCATAAGCCCAACTCAGTCAACTACAAAAGGAAATAAAGGTAAGTGCGAATATTTATTTGCATGCTTTACTTCTAAAAAATTCACGTAATAAAGAATAAGAATAAGTGAGGTAGGGATATTTTATTATTTGATAAATAAATATAGTTCGACACCGAAATACCACTTCATTTTTACCCCCTTTTTATTTTAACATATATACTACATCCTCTACCACATCTTTACCCTCCTTTTACTATTTAATTTTTGTTTATTACATAGAATCTAGGCTTAAATAAAGAACAGAAATGCCTTAAAAACAATTAATAAAATAAAATTATTCTATATATTATAAAAACTATCATAAAAAAAAATATTCCTAATAAATTGGTTTTATATAAATCCAATAATTTTTGATAAAAAAAAAAATGTTATTGTCATAAACACAATAAATTTAATTATAAAATAATAGGAACCGGAATAATTTATTGGAAAACAAAATTATAATAATTAATTATAAATCGAAAAAAGTAACTTAATTTGTTTTGATACTACAAGATTGCGAGGAATTAAGACAAAAGGCCTGAAAAAAAAAATGATTAATAATAACAAAAAACTAAATATGGTTAAATTTAAAATTTACTTTATAAAAATATTTCAATTTATTATGCTTACTCATTAAATAAGAATAAAGATAAGAGACTCAAAAATAATTTTCTTTGGCCATTTTTAACGTTTGAAAATAAATAAGTCTAATTAAACATTATAACCCATACAGTGTACATTTTATTACAAATCAAAATATTTGTCTCCTGGATATGATATTCTATCCCTAAAAAATGTATTAGGCTTTAATTCAAGACACAATTTTATATTCAAAATACATTACAATACATCTAGACTTAAAGTAAGATGTTTTATGTATTTAAAAACATTTAAACATCTCACACCATGATATATTTTCTACATGATCCTTTAAATTCATGTTAACTAATAAATTATCAACAACAGTTGTGTAGGAGCAAATAATTTACAAAATGAGTGGGATTAACTAATTGCACTTTATTGATTAAATGAATTAAAATTTTAAGACATTTATCGAGGTTTCTAAATTTAAATTAATAAAAAATAATTGAGAACAAAAAATCAGATTAAGCTTATTTTTTGTAAAAATTTCATTTTTAAACCAAAGTTAAAGGAAAGATTAAACGATATAACAGACTTGAAAATTTACTATTAGAATTCCTAATTAAAACTCCTCTTTAAAAAATTCCTGGACTGACCACTAATTTCTATAATTAAATTAAATGTAAATATATTTCACCTCCTCCATATATGAAGGGTCTAGTAGAAAGCTACTATTTTTCAAAAACTATACTAAAGACATTTATGTTTTTTATGAAAAACACTATATAAAGCTTAGTACATTGTTTATTTTTTTCAAATTTAATTTCTTTTCTGAAGAGTTTTTTTTTCTTTTTTCACAATGGACCAAATGTTATTTTAAGTTAATAATTTTAGAACATCTTTGGTGAGTTCTATTAATTTGATGTAAGTTAAAGAAAATATGTAGTATTAATAATTTCAAAATTAACAAAACCAATGTAACCAGATATAGCGGATAAGTGTTACGCATTGATCTATTTTGAGTTTAAATAATGGTAACGGCCCCTATAACAAATAGAGCAAAATAGCGCTTTATGGTCTTATCGGTAGCGGTAGGACATTTAATATGTTTATGTATATTGATTCTTTAGCTCATTAAAAAGAATCAATACACTTAACCGATTCAGTGAATCTGAATTGATAACACGTGTAAAATTATGTAGATTCGTATATTTGATTAAGATAGATAATTAATTTTTTATTTGTCTACAATGACATCTACAATATATTTAATTTAAAATTTTAATCCTAAATATTCCTTTAAGTCTCATAAAAATTTGGTCTAAATTGCTAAAGGTAATGGTTTTTTCTTTTCAGTGAAATATTTAACTTCTTCAAAGTGTAATAAAAAGATAAGCAAAACTTTTAACTACAATTACCTTGTTATTTTGCAATTTATTAATATAAAAATATAATGTTTTTTTTTTATATAAAAATGAGAACAACTTCCAAAGTACTCGTCCAATAGTTGTTATCAACCAGTCATTTTCTTAATTAGATTATTTTCTATTTTATAGCCAGTTAAATATGTATGTTGTATGCCAAAACCTATTAAGTAATATTTAAAAATCTTACAAGAGAGCAAAATTTGTTGCCTTAGTAACAATGTCTAGTTGTGAGCATTACAATGATAAATTTACTATTAAAATTTTCTCTTACACTATTATAAACAAGTATAAAATTTTTAAAATTTTTCCATTTCTAACGTCATATTTTATATATGAAACATAATAAATGTAAAAGATGTAACAGAACAAAGAGAAAAAAATAGAGGATGAAAAATATAAGTTATAATGTGTTCAAAATTTCAAAAATTATTTACAATAAAATAAAATGTTAACAAATAATATAACTTACATAATTAAATAAATTATAATAAAAAACACAAATAAATATAGAATTTGAAAGTTTTAAACTACACATAATATACATTAAAAAAAAAAAAACAAAATATTGAAATTAAACAAATATACATTTGTATGTTATGATGTTAACCTTATTAAATCGTTGACTCATATTCAGTCAAAAATTTTATTTAGCCTTTTTTAAACTTAATATACTATTAAAATCTTAAATTAATTAGATCAAACTAATGATACATACAGTTCATAATTTTTAAACAGTTAAAAAAAATGTAGAAGTAGCATTACTTTTTAAATTTAGAATACAGAGTTTATCTATATCCCGTTCTATGAAATGCCTATATCATGTAAATGAGGTAAAATCAAAAAGTATAAAACATAAATTAAAAAGTTATCTGCAGTTTAACTAAAAAAATTTCATCGAGCTTATTTTTTTTAAGCCTTAGATATATATATTGAAAATATTAATATAACTTAAATATTATATAACAAAAAATAATGTATAACATTTTCATATAAAATAATACAATACCATAACTTAATATTTCTTTTAAAAACTTCTAACTACCATAAATATTACATAACGTGTAACTACAATAATAATAATTTAATCATAAATAATTACCATTTTGGTTGAACAAATTTTGAAGAAAAGTTTGAAAATAAATATTTTTTATTTTGCTTTACACGACAATATTGACGACCTTCAACAAAACCAGCATCCCAGTCAACATTTACAGATTTACCATCAAGAACAGCATTGTGCATAGTTGTCATGCAAGTTTCAGCACCCAAGCGTGTTTCATATCTAGTTATAATGAACATATATTAATGACGATAAAATAATAGGACTAAAATATGCAGTTTATTTTAAATAATTCTTTTTAAAAATTAATTTTTTGAAAATTAAATAGTAAATTAAAAGAAAAACTAACCAACCCTATTAACAATAGCATATTTATAGGAGGTCCGTGCAGTCAGGACCTCTCATAGACAAAACATAGAAGTGTTAGAGAATGGATGGGTGAATTTCTTCTATATGGACCTCCCGTACAAAATTTTTAAATATGCTATTGATAACTAAATATTTTTTATCACAAAATACTACTGTACGGTTATAATTTTTATATAAATATACATATATTTCCACAAAAGTTTTTCTTGAAGCGTATATTTATGCTTTTGTATAAAATTTCTTTGATCTTCTTTAAAGTACTCTCAGCTAGTGGTAATAAACTTGTCTAATTTCATCTGTCATTGTTTATAACATTTTTTAAACTCATCTGCAATAACGGCATGCACAGCACCGTCATTTAGGTAACTTTTGGTTACCCCCTTGTATATGGAATTTAAACAGATAAAATTCTTCAATTTTTTAAAAAAATGTATATTATATTTAGAAAAATATAAGTTTTGAATTACGTTATTTTAATAATATATAAATAACAAATTTATCTAATATATCTTTATATATTCTTCTCTTCTTTAAAAAAAAAAAAAAACTGATATTATAACCTTAAAAAATTGATATCAAATACAAACTCAAACCATTTTTACAAGGAATAAATCCTACAATTACCGCTTTTTAAATTAAGCCCAGCTTGAACTAGGCAACTTCCTCATCAACAATATCCAGCTCTGAATCAGAATTGTCTTGTTTCCAACATTTCATATGGTCTAATGTAGTAGTTATTAATGGTCTTTCATCAGTACCGAGTTAAAGCACAACTTACTTATTATGTCCACAGCAACCAATGATATAATTACTGTATTCATGGACAAGTATTTCTTGGCAATTTTTTACATTGCTAAAAATTTGGTTCTCTAGTAGCTATTAGATCACCAATTTTGAATAATGTTACAGGTTTTCACCTTTTTAAACTTTTAGTATAATATATTAAAAGTAATATGCTTAACAGCGTATTATGCTGTTTAACTTCATACCTCTCTTCTTTTAAATTATTTAGATAACATTTTTCATACTACTGTTCAATTGCTTCACATATAGACAAACACTGAGAATGACATATTGCAACTCCAAATTACAATTTAAAGAGAGTCACGTTTATCTCAGATATTAAAAGCCATTTAAACCTTAGGAACTACTTTATAATATTTTTCAAGCTCATCAAGACTTAACTTAGACACAACTGGAATGATTGAATTATTCAACAGCTCAATTTGTCTGTTACCTCTAGGAACACCAAATATTACGTTGATATGTGTTATATGTTGATCAATATAATATTTATTAAACTTCTCTGATAAAAATATTACTTCTTTATCCGTTACTAATGTAACTGGATTCTCAAATATGGTTTTAAGAGAGTTTTTTTTTCCATGACTTCTGTTGAAGTAGCTCTTCAAGTGAGAAATAGCCAGCAAAACTTACTAATGGAATTTATTACAGCAAAACTATATTTATATCCTTTAGGTTTTTGAGCTAATGCCCAAGAAAATCAATATGAAAGGAATAAATGGGTACATCTCTTATATGCTATGTAAATAACCTTCTGATTAATTTTGTTTATTGGACATCACTATGCATTGTATACGATTATAAACAATTTTTTTAATCTTTCCATGCATTACGTTTTCTTTATTTACTAAATCTTTTATTTTTTTTTACTCCAACATATCCAATATTGTAAATATTTTTTATGACTTTTCTTCACATTTCTCAAAGAAAAACATGTAACTTAACACCATTCTTTATTTTAAGAAGCTATTTATGTTTAATGGTAGGTATATTGACTAGCTTGTTCTGTATAAACTACAGATATTAATTCTTTAATAGTTGAATCAGATAGTTATGCTTTTTGGAGTCTTGCAAAAAATTTATCATGAATTGCCATACATACTGGATATTAACTTAGGGCATCTACATGATTGTACATGAGGTACAGTCATTAGTTTTTCCTTATAACACATTCAGAACTAATTCCTGACTAGATTCAAATATAAATGGAACATTTTTCTTAAAAATATCATTTAATAGTAATGCTATAATTTATAAATTTCCGGAAAATAAAAGTTAATCCTAAGAAACTGCATCTCATTGGATGTTCTAGGAATAGGAAAATTTTCAAATGCCTTTATTCCAGTTTTACATAGACTCACTCTATTAACTAATTAACCTAATGCCTCAATACTCAATTGTACTCTTGAGAAATTGACATTAAGTTTACATGTTAGACCATACTTAGATGAGACTTCTAACATTAATTTAAGTCTTTTTCATAATTATTAGACATTATAACTAAGTTATTCATATAGACTAAAAATATTTTTTTAATTAATTTATGAAAAATATAATTGATATATCTTTTAAAAACTTGGGGTGACAAACCAAATCCAAAAGGTCAACAGTTAAGTTACAAACTTGTACACTTTATACTTTCTTCAATGGCATATTAAAAAATACATTCTTCAAATCTTCACTTTTAAACACAGATGATCCTTGTAGTTTGTCAAGCTGACCTTCTATGAGGAATTGGGTATTAATCTTTAACTAGTATTGCCCAGTGGTCGAAATTCTACCACCTAGACTTGTGCAAAATTCAAGTAAGAAATGTAAATACTAAATGAACTATAATAAAAATGAGACTATAATGTACATTGTTAAATACTAAATCAACTGTAAAAAAAATTAAACTTTAATGTAGATTGGTATTGGTAGGTTAAAAATTCAAAACTTCTCTATAAACAATATTTTTTGTAAATGCTCTATCATCATTCGCGAAGTGCCCTTGACCTCTATGCTCAGATATGTAATACTTCAAACCATCGAAAGTGCAAAATCTACTGGAAGCAACATATAACTGTCCGTGAGAAAATACGGGTTGCTTCAATAATACTTATGCAATAAAATAACGTCATCAAAACGAAAAAATCCGCACTATGAACCCAATCACATGAGCATTTGAAAAAAATAAAATTGCGCGATGAGATAACAATTCAGCAATTTATTGATTAACTGCTAATTTCTCTTTTAGTCCTAATCTACTAGGTATTTGTTTAACAGAAATTTTAGTTTTCATAGATTCTACTTCAATGGCTCTTGATTTATAACAGGTTACTATCTCCTAGATGACTGATTAAAATTTTCTTTCCCCTACATATAATTCGTAGTTTAACATCGATTAAGAAAATACATTTCTAATTATTATATTATTATAATAATATAATAAATTATGACAATAATATATTGTCAGAAACAGTATACACAAATATATACTTTGCCTCATCAACAGTAATTCTCTAGTAACTTGGTATTTACAAAAAAAATTAGCTTCTATTTATCATCAGATGGCAAGTAGATTTCTTAACATTATTCAACTAGGACAAAAATGATTGTCAACACAAATTAAGGTCGTTTCCAGTGTCCATCAAAGCAAAAGATTTATACAAGTGATCAGTTTATCATAAACCACTCAATTACTCTTAAAATAAATACTTTATTGGAAAATTTTTTTAAATTTTTTAGTTACATATATTTCTTGATTTATCAGCTAATAATTATATTTTAAGTCATCTTTTACAACTTAAGGTGATGTCAACTTAATTATCTAATTAAGAAAATGACTGGTTGATAACAACTTTTTGACCAACACTATGTACATCATTAAAAATACAATAAAATATAGACTATATATTCATAATATACTCTACAAATACTTACTCTATAAAGCAAAAACCACCTGAACCTTTTGTTTCTTTATCTATACCCATAATAATGCGTTTGATTTGTCCAGCTTTTGAAAATAAATCGTAAATATCACTTTCAGTAGAACATAAATTTAATTTTCCTACATAAATAGTTTTTGAAGTTTCTAATTTCTTCCTATATTCCAAATTACTTCCCTAAAAATATAACATATAAATATTATTATTACCTTTTTTCATAAAAAAAAATGTAAAAAAAAAATTTTTTTTTTGTTAATTTTATTTAATTTATTTACAAATTAATTTGTTTATTATATAAAATAGCGATAGCAAAAATTATAACAATAATTATTATTGATTTTGACAACCAAGAATATGTTAACATTTTATCTTTAAAATGATTAGGGGTAGACCAGAAAATCTCAAACTTAGTTCCAAAAGAAATTTTTGCCACAGTTTACATTTTATTTTTGATATTATTAGATATTTTATTAGAAAAGGATTATTTGTTATCTACCAATTCTCAATACAAGCTACTGTTTATATTGTCTGTGAAAGTATCATTAAGTTTAAACCAAGGCTAGACTATACATGTACAAAATTTATTTTATTTTATTAATTTCCAAGTTAAATACCTTAAACATACGATCCTTATAATCTGAATAGGTGTCATTCACATCAAAGTTGTTATTAATTTTATTTTGATCAGCTTCTTGAATGGAACGCAATGCTGGAGGTATATATATTTTATTAGGTTTTTCATTGAAAAAATTTGATAAACTGGTGCTTTTAACCTAAATTAAAAAAAAATAACAATTTATTCTATGTTGAATTTTTAAGTGAAAATTAAGAAGTAATAATAACAGTAGATGTTCAATTAAAATTATTTAAACATAATAAAACTGAAGTAAAATAAAAAGTATATTTAATTATACTATTTGTACATAAAGCACAAAAATAATGACTATAAAAATTAATAAAGCATTTTTTTTTTCTATATAGAAAGTAAAAACAAGGTATCTAAAAGTATAAAGATGCAGATTATACAATTTTGGTGATTTTATATCAATTAAAATATATTATTTACTGTTAAATTATAAAAAAAATTGAATTTCCAAATTAATTTATGCAGTAATATAAATACTTTTATTACCAAAGCACTTTTATTTTCTATCTTCATTAAGTTTTCATTCTTTGAAAAATCTGAATTATTGTTATGTCTAAAGCGCATGTGAGGAGGTTGATATAGTCTAGTAGGTGTAGTTTTATTTGAAGACATACTATAAGCTGAAACTAACAAAATAGAAATTACAGAATAGTTATAAACATGTATCAAAAAAAACCTGTTTAAAAGTAAATTGTTTTAATCTTTTAATAAATCCTATAAGACAAATGTAAATTTGTCTTAATTCGGTTTTTTGAAAAAGCAATTTACACAAAGTAACAATGCTGTATAAGATCATTTTGGTATAAAATCGTTGATTTATTATTAAAAAAATTATTTCTACATCTATCAAAAATGAAGATAAAATTTTAATTTAGAATAGTAATTTTAAATTAAGCAATTTAAATAAATTATTAAAGTAACAAATTCTATAAGAACCACTATAAACCAGAAGACAATTTCCGTCATCTAATCACTAAACTCTAAGTCAAGTGCTTAAATAATATTTAACATCAAATAAAAACATAACATAATTAGTCTAATAACAGACTGAAAGAAAAAATTAAAATAAATATTTATTAAAATTTTCCTAGAAAATCAAGCACAAGTACATATTTAAAATGTTAATTCATAGTAGTAGCTAGCTTATTTTCCAGCGAACATTAAATGTTAATTTAAACGATAAATTTTACTGTTTATTCCAATCAAAAGTTGTATGATGGATAAAATTAAAGTTATTTTACTTTTTAATAATATCTTGAATCTAGTACAAAAAATAAGCATATAAACTCTTTATATTATAAAATACTTACAAAATACAATAAAATGAAAACTAACGGTTTTATTTAAACGTATACAATTTTTTAATAAATTAAAGAAACCCAAGTTACAAATGAAAAAATGGTAAATTTAATAAAAACAATTTTTAAGAAAAACAGGGAATAATGCAATTTAGATAGCTATAGCCACACACTTGAATTCCAACAACATTCTTGTTTACGATATAAATATTTCTAACCTCAATTTTTTCGCGCCAAATAAAATTAAAACCTATTTATCATCATTATGAAATTGTAATAATAAAAAAAAATTATTATTACATTTTCATTTTCAAAGAATTTATACATTTCTCTTCTATTATTATTTCTTATTTAAAATATATAATAANAACAATTTTTTGAATGAAAGATAATGTGTGTATTCTGGAGAATACACTGTTACGGAACAATTTTTGATTACTTTCATTAATTTAACAAAAAAATTGATCTCTAATATTTATCTAAAATTTTATATTTAGTGTATTAATTTTAATTAAAAAATCTGATCAGTTTTACGTCCTTCTATTTCCCGAATTTAACATGCTACAGATGTTGGTGGCCCTATTTCACATATTAGAAAGTCAAAGATGGTTCTTGACTAAGCTAATTATGAACGGGGTGAGTATAATGGCCGGCTTACTCCAAAGACAAGATACTACTAATAAGAAAATCACTAGAAACATTTCGTAGGCGCAATCGGGATCGAACCCTGGGACCCCGTGCGCCGTTTTTTTACTTAAAATAGAATAAAATTAATTCCTTTTTAAGTAAAATTGAATTTTCTGTAGCCAAAAACTAAAAAACAAGCCAATTTTTAACCATTAAACGACACGTGATGGAGGTAAGTAAATCGCACGAAACAAATTGTTTTTATACACTTATGAACAAAATTTAAAGGATCACATTATCTTGTTTAATATATTTTAGCTTCAATGCGAAACTGAGAAGGTATTGGTTTTACTATGATGGGTTTTTTTTTTTTTTTTTTTTTGTGTGTGTGTGTGTGTCTGTTACCACTTTTTCTCAGCTCTCACCGAACCAATTTCTTTCAATGATACGTCAAAAGATCATAAATAGTATCTAGTCGAAGACATTACCCTCAAAAATTGAAAAAATTTCCCTCGTTCCCCGTAAATGAGGGAAACCTCCAAAAATATTACTAATTTAAAAATCGCTAATTTTCAAATTTTTTTTTACTTAAAAGTGCCATAACTTTTTTAAAAATAAACAAATCAATATAATTTTTTTTTATAGATGCTTGATGTCTTTACTTATCATTTGGTATATTTTTTTATAAATCTGACCCTTTACCTTCCTATAGGGGGGGGATTTAAAATGACAACTTTTTCACAAAAAATTAACTTTTTCAATTTGACTTTTGAAAATGTCTGACACTTTTATATATATCTTAAATAAAAGCTAAAGTAATGTACTTTATTATGGAAAAAAAAAATTTTGTATTTTACATTATTAACTTTATTATGCTATAACTTTTTGAAAAATGTATGGATCAATACAATTTTTTCATGAGAAATAATATTTTTTAATAATCCCTTTTTCATTTGATATACTTTATCTTAATCAGGATAATAATAAGGAACTAGCAGATCATGTAGCTTTTGGAATAATCCACCAATTTTTTAAAATTAAACACTATCTAAAGATTTGCATCGAAGCGTTTTTTTTTTGATAGTGATTTTATTCACTGTCAGATATCATTATACTTGATCTAACTATGCCACGTCATCACTGTGCCCCGACCCCCCTGTGCTAGGTTTTTAACCTTAATATGCTAGGACCCGCCTAAAACGGAGTCTAATTTAGAGGGTAGCTCGAAAGGGCAATAGTCTCCTCATAGCAGTTCTTAAGAGCTAATCTTAATATTAAAGAGCAAAACCTACAACAAAAATACGGTGGATTAAAAAAATTCTATTTTCTAATATTAAGATTTATACTATATTTTGCGTTCTTTTTTTTATTTTAAGAATATCATAAATTGGATAAATGCTTATAGCGATGGGAAAAAATGTTGATTTTATTTTTTTTCCCGTTTTATTTAAAGAGTGATTCTGATAAAGTTTGGAGGTGTTAAATATTAGGTGGTTTCCTTACGCTTAAATCTTAAATACAGCCCTGATAAGAAATTATATATGAGAGTCTATGATGTTTTGTTAATTACTCGTCAATGGTCATATAGGTTTAATATAGCTAACAATGTTTTCAATAAATTTTAGCCCTGATCTATGTGAAGGGTTCACGGATCCTATTAATACGTTTCTTTTTCACTTTATATAATATCATTTAAACTGTTTCAAAATAGAATTTCTTATAAGGATAGAATTTGGGACCCTCGGTATTAATTTTTTTCTATGAGTGAAACCCATGTGATCTTAATAATATATATTATTTAAATATTTTAAAGTGAAGCATAAATTATATTCCCACTTTTTGTTTCTCTTGAAATGAGGTAACAGATATGCAATGGCGTGTTAAAATATTCTAACATATTATTAGTAGTTAAATTATTCCAGTTGTCATTTATTTTGGCAGACCATACTTTCCAACCAACATTTTCGTTTATTATACATGCTGTTTAGTATATTACAAGTTTTTGTACAAGTAGGAACTAAAACTTTTATTTAAGCAAAAAGTGATTTCTAATTTATATATCTGCAATCATTGGAAAAAATTAAAAACATAGGTATGAAATAATTAAATTTGGAAGAAATATCTTTGTATTACTTTTGATTATTGGAAAAGTTTAATTAGATGTGATCGTTGTAAATTGTTTATACTACATTTTAAGTATAAATTAAAGACAATAGTGTAATATACAATGTTAGTATCCTAAATATATTAGCGTGTCAATATTACTTTAGAACACATTTTGAAAGAAATTGACTAGATTATAAATTAAGACTCAAAAAATAATTACCCCCAAAATCTTAAAATTAGTAAAAGTATTATTACATTTTATATAAGGAAAATTATTATATTAAGATCATTAACTTTAATCCCAATAATAAGTTTTCTTGATTTGAAACAATTAATAAATATATAATAAATATGAAATCTATCTAAATAAAATTAATTACAGTATATTTTTATTGAAAATAACTGTGATATTTAAAAAAAAATCATATTTCTTCTAACAAAACTTAAAATACAAAAGTTGACCATAACATTAAAACATTAAATTACATAAAAAATATTTCTAATTACAACATTTTTGTTCAAACTATGTCTGTATATAACTATTATACTGCGATGATGAGCAAAAAAAAAACAAAATCTAATCTTATTTTGTATGAATAATATTATATCCATAAAAAACAATCCACTGTTACATTATTAATCATATATGTATACAAATATATATATATATATATCTAATATGTATAATTATTTTTAAATAGGAAAAAAACCTGGATACCAAATGCAATGTGGCCGAATGAAAACAAATTTATTATCAACATAAAACTATCTAAGTTTTTAGGTTTAATTTCGCTTATTAATCCTAATTCTCCAAAATTGTATAATAATAATGTTTATCATATTATTATACGATTATTTTTAGGATATATTTTTATTATTGAAAGTTTATGTGTGGCTGGCCTTTATTTTTGGAATAATAACTTTAACCAATTTACTACGATTTTAGAAATTATAATAAACTCTTCCTTTATGATCTATAAAACAGTAGCAATAGTTAAACATTCAAATAAAATCTGGAAAATATTAGACTTTACTCGAATTGATTTTATGAAGTACATTTATCATGAAAGATATACTCTTGAGAAATGTCGAAAAAAATCTATACGCCTTACCAATTTGTATACTATAACATGCTATTTTGCATGTTTGTCCTGGGTTTTCATGCCGTTTTTTACGAATAAAAAATTTGTTGTTAAGGATCGAAAAGGTAATACTGAAATTTACCGATTAAATGTTTATAACATATTTTTCAATACATCGGTTACCAATTACAATAAATACTACTACTTTTTTCATTTTTTGGAGCTTATTTTCGGATTAGGCAGTATGCATTTCTCTATAATTTTTGATACTTTATTAATTTCAACGTGTTTCGCATTATCTAGTCAATTAGAAACACTAAAAAACACATATAGTTCTTTAGGACGAAGAACAATAAAAAAAACAGAATATCATCGTAAGTTAATACTATATAACATTTAACACTAACTGATATTTCTAGACCATTTTTTACACACCATTGATATGTAAAAAAACTAAAAGATAACGAACTTCTGGTACTTTTTACCTCGGTGTCTTAATATCCTGACTAAGACACTGTGATTGATTATAATTTAAATATTTGATTCCGAAAAACACGGATTTCTTTCATAAACTAGCATTTTATTTTCTATTCCCCAAACTTTTTTTACATCAATTTTATTTTACAAAATAAATAAATATTACAATAAAAACATAATTTTTCACTAATGTAAACTTTAGTCTCAAATCAATTTTAGAAGAATCGAACAATTGCAATGACAAATGTCAAGAATTATTTGAAGACATTAAAATGTTAATTTCTGATAATCAAAATTTGATTTTGTAAGTACGTTATTCTATTTTTACATGAACTTAAAATATTGAAAAAGTTTTTTATAAAATCAATAAGTATTATTGATTTTATACAGTATCAATATTTGAAGCAAATATCATGACTATCGATCCGTGTTTAAAAGTGATGTTTAAGATTTATAAATTACATAATTTGAAATCTATTTAAAACAAAATTTAATTATACTTTAGATTTATCAAAGATTTTTATTTTAGTAGGTACGAATACAACTGATAGATGCTTTTAACACGGCATCGAAACTGGAAAATTTTGTGTAATGTTTTTGATCTTAAGACACAGCCATTTTTTCAAATTAAAAATTAAATTCAATAATTATTATTTTGATAAAAAAAATTGTTTCTTATACCTCAGTAGTTTGGTCAAGCCTTATAGTCCAAAGAGAATCCCGTCACTATACACTTCCATCACACAGTTCACTATTATAAATACATAGAGTCCTTTACGATATTAGTTTTAAAAAATAAATAAAATGACACCCCTGCATTTTTATTAAAAAATTAAATAATTACATACATTTTGAAGAGCTGAGCACCCTGGCTACGCTACTAAATTGTATCTAATAACTCACAATATTTGACTCATAGAAGTGAATTGAAGAAACTGGTACAATAATAATATATGTCCACTTTTTAGTAGTAATTGCTTTATAAATTAGTGCAAAAAAAACATATTCTATTATTTGCTGTAAAGCTATAAAAACTTATCTTGTTTTTAACATTTAAAAAAAAATTATGTTTTATTTCTTCTGGGTAATTTTAAAAACTGGACATATTTAATCATTACGCTAGTACCTTCCACTAATAATAATAATCGAATTATGTAGAAAAATAGGCTAAAGGTCTAAATGTTTATACTATTTAATCGTTATAAAAGCACATTTTTTATGGTCACAACCTATAAAAGGTAGAAATTTTAATTTAAAATATACAATAATAATTTACTAATATATTTATTAATAAAATTCGTATATATTTATGAATTTAAGGATGATGGAACAATTCTATGACATTGTTCGTCCAGTTATTCTTACTCAAATAATCATATCTTCAAATACACAGATATTTATGTCCTACATGATATCATTGGTATATAACTGAATTATAATATCATAGTATATCAGTGATGTGATTTGTACATTTATTTATGTATAAAAATAAATAATTTGAATATTTTAGAATTCAATCAATAATAGCGATACAGACTCTATTGAAATAATAAAAATGATATGCGCTGTTCCGGTTTTTGGATTACAACTTTATTTAATCTGCTTCTTATTTGGAAATATAAGTGAACAAGTAATTTAAAAAAAAACTGCACACTTCAATTAGTCGAAGAAATAGGGGGTTAATTAGCATATAAATCTTTTTAAATAAAATTCCTGATTTTGGATAAATTCTCCGTAATATACAGAATGATAAATTATAATACAGTTTTCAAAATAATATTTTTTATCTAGGTACATTTAATTGAAAAATTTCTAATCACTTAATTCTTTTCTTTAACTGTATGGCTAATTTAATATTCTTTAAATTTGAAAAGCCTTGAGCAAACATTTTTTTTCATTTATTCATTATTTGTTAAGACTTTTCTAGTTTTTTAAATTTTATCTATAAAGATATAATTAATGATAATTCGTTCAAATTTTTTAGAAAAATAGTGTCAACTTTGCAATTTTTAGCAGTAATTGGATGGATATGGATTCAAAATGTACAAAATTAATTCTTTTCGCAATGAGAATGAATAATGCTAATCAATTGAACATGAAAATGACATGGACAAAAGTTGTTAACTTAGAATTGTTTGTTAATGTATGCTTAAAAATAATCACTTTATTTTTTACTTTAAAAATTAATTTATAATATCGATCAGTGCTAATATCTCTACCTCATTTCTTAAAAAACTAAAATTTTATGAACCCAAAAATTTTTAATGAAAATTATGTAAACTATGTTACGTTGAGGTTACCATAAAGGGTTTTTTTTAGAAATAAAAATTCATGACACGGTCTCTGTCAATCTGTTATACGCAGAAATCTAGTAAACCGTTGTCAGCCGTTGCCCTGCTATGTGTACCTGATAGTTAACTGACTAATACGCAGTGTTAGCCAGTTAACTACTATGTAGTCCAAGAAATGCCACACGACAACCCACCGTAAATGTAAATGGAGGTCACTTTCGTAATTCTTAAGGATTTTTTTTTATGTTTCCTTTTTTGTCAAAATTGCAGCTACACTGATCGCCAGGTACTACCACATCGACGTGTTATAATGTATATATATATATATATATANAATTAAATACAATAAAATAAAACTCAATACACATATTATTACTATATAGGTCGCAGTAGAAAATAGAAATGAAAATATTAATAATAATAACGATCATACTATTATAGCAAACAAATAACGACCAACGTACATGTAGTTAATTCTAAAAATAAATTTATTTTACTGTATGGACAACGGTTCAAAAACCGTACATAAGATCGCGCTAATCGTACCCGCAAGCACACGATTGGTCGCCTCGTTTATATAAGTTTTAAAATATTGTTCGGACGACGCTGTCAGTCGTCCAAACACTGCTCGTGTGCGCATGCGTATCCACATTTATTGTAGGAAACAACTTAAATGTTCCCCAAAACGACAAATGTATTATAACTATTTTACTATTTAAAAACTTGCATTTTTAATAAAAATGTAGATTTAAGAATGTACAATTAATTTTAGTAGGGGGCGTGATCGTCCCGTCGTCCAAGCCACGAGTCGCCAATGATATATATATATATGTGTGTGTGTGTTCATTAACATTAAGTTGTATTGTTAATACATATTTTCTTTTTGTACGAATATTCAGCCATTTAAATAAACGGGTCCGTTTATTTAAATCAGTAAATCCAATTTGAGTCGACTAGATTCTCCTACAATATATTTTGTTAATCAGAAGCACTGGCGTATGCAAGGGGGGAGGTTGAAACCCCCCAAAAATTTATAAGCTAAACGACAATTTTGGACCATAAACAATAAGTAATAACAATAAAAAAGATCATATCATACTATAAATATTTCCACAATAAAGTAATCGAAAACAGGAATTTTTGTAAGCGAAAACAATATGGAGAGTGTCACATCTAATTTTCTTTAAATTTCAAAAAAACCCCCCCAAATTTAATTTCTGTGTACGCCACTGACCAGAAGTGATGAAAAAAACATATTTTTACCCTGTTTTTTCTAACGAATCTTCTTCCTCGCCTTAATCCCAACTACTTAGGGTCGACCAAATCGTTTTTTCTAACAAATAAATTCCAAATTTATTTCTATCAAATTGCAGAAATTAATCGCTATTAATATTATTAATATATTTAAGTATACTATCGCTATTATATGTGTTTTGTTGTTTTAGGCATTAAGGATGAGTTATTCAGTATTTTCGGTTTTGGTAAAATCTAACGGATAAAATCAATACTTAATAAGTAGATATTTATTTAGTTTATAGTTTAACTAATAACAAAAAAATTGTACTTGAAATATGTATTATCAGTTAAAATATTAGTTTGTATTGTAAGGGTTAAGTGTAGCTATTAATAATAATAATAAAAAACATTGTAATTTTATACAATGAGAATTGATCACTTATGGCTAATATTATTTAAATATAAAAATATACTTGACTAAACAACTAAACTTCCACTTGACACGATCTCCCACATTATCCGTCCTCATATCGCTTTTAATTACATCCCTCCATCTCTTTTTTGGCCTTCCTCTACCTCTTCAATTTTCAACGTTCACTTCTATAACTGTTCTTACAGCTTCCGATTGTTCTCTCCTCATAACATGACCAAACCATCTAAGTCTATTTTCTCTCGTCTTATCCACGATTGATGCTACACCTATACTCTCTCTTATATGCTCGTTCCTTATTCAGTCACTCCACTCATCCATCTAAGCATTCTCATCTCTGCTACACTCATTCTCTGCTCTACTTTCTTACCAACCGCCCAACACTCTGAACCATACATCATAGCTGGTTTTATTACAGTCTTGTAGAATTTACCTTTCAGCCTCATTGGAATTCTTTTATCGTATAAGACACCAGACGCTTCTCTCCACTTCAACCACCCGCACTTAATTCTGTGTCTTACATCCTCGTCAATACTACCACTCTTTTGTACAACTGACCCTAAATACTTAAAACTCTCCAATCACGTCCTCACCTATTGTCACTGACCTCCTCATTTCACCTATCTCGTGTTCTCCTTTGTCAAACTCGTACTCTATATACTCTGTTTTACTTTTTCTTATTCTTAAACCCTTTTCTTCAAGAGCTGATCCCCACACCTCTAGCCTTTGATTAATTTCCTCCCTATTTTCTCCTATAAACACTATATCTTTAACAAACAACATGCACCACAGCACCTCTCCTTGTATTTCTCTAGTAATTTTATCCATCACTATAGAGAATAAGTAAGGGCTTAAAGCAGAACCTTGGTGCACTCTTACTCTTGTCCGAAAACCTTCTGATACTCCTCCTATGCTTTTTACCCGGGTACAAGTGCCATCATACATATTTTCTATTATATTAATGTACCGTTTCGGGACTCATTTTCTCATTAATGACCACTTTAAAACCTCTCTCGGTACTCTATCATACGCTTTCTTGTAATCTATAAATACCATACACAGCTTTTTATTCTTTTCCATAAACTTTTCTATTAGTTGCCTCACACAAAATACTGGCTACGTTGTTGACTTACCAGGCATAAATCCAAACTGGTTTTTAGATACCGATGTCTCATTTCTTATTCTCTTATGTATTACCTTTTCCTAAATTTTAATACTATGACTCATAAGCTTTATGTCTCTATAATTTCCACGCTCCTGTATGTCTCCTTTACTTTAAATATCGGTACCACAATAATATTTCTCCATTCATTTGAAATTTTCCCTTCTAATAAGATTTTATTTAAAAGTTCCTTCAATCACCTTAAACCAAAACTCCTAATATTTTCCATACTTCTACTGGTACTTCATCTGGTCCTACTGCTTTGTTCTTTTTAATTGATGCCACAGCCTCCCATACCTCTTTCTCAATAATTAAATCTACCAATCCCTCATTCCACGAGATATCCTCTGTCTCTTTTGGGTACTCCTCATCCAGTAATTTTTCAAAATACTCTTTCCACCTTTTTTTCAAATCATCATCACTCGAGAGTACCTTATTATCAACACTTTTTATACACCTGTATAATAATAATTTTTAGACCTATTCTCGCTTTCCTTTATTCCTAGCCTATCATATAACTCGTCATATCTCTTAAACTTCGCCTTACTTACTCCACACTTGGCTTCTTTGAACAAGCGTTTATACTCCATCCAATCTTCTCTCTTTTTGCTCTTCTGCCATACTTTGAATTGCTTTTTCTTACTTTCTATGATTTTTTGAATATCCTCATTCCACCACCAGGTTTCCTTGTTTCCTAACATTCTTCTCCTACTCTCACAAACAATCTCCTTTGCAGTATTCTTTACACAACTAGCAAATCTATTCCACACATTATTTATGTCTCCCTCTATATTCCACACCGTCTTCTCTTTTACTGTCTTTACAAACTTTTTATCATTTTCCCCTTTCAATTTCCACCGCCGAATCTTTTCCACCCTGCTCCTTCTATTTTTGTAAATTCTCATTCTGGTACACCGCACCTTCATTACCATCAGTCTATGTTGTGTAGTTACACTCTCGCCTGGTATAACTTTACAATCTTTTACTCGCTTTACGTTCTCTCTCTTCCATATAAAATAATCAATCTGTGATCTATTCCTCCCACTCTTATAAGTTATATAATGTTCTTTCCCCTTTTTAAAATAAGTATTAACCACACCACGATCATACGATACTGCGAAATCCAGGATTTTTCTCCAGCCTCATTCTTCCTACTAAAACCATATCCTCCATGTACTCTTTCATATCCTCTTCTTTCATTACCTACATGTATTACAAAAAACTATGATAATAGACGTGCCTGTTGGAAATGCTAATCACAGACTAGCGTCCGGCGGCCGTTCACCTGTATTTATGTCAGCGCCGCCGGTTATCGGTTAGTCATAAGACATATCGGTTTTACTTAATGCACCCAAAGAAAAATCTCAATCAATTTTGATAGAGAAATTTTATCAAGGGTTTATGATAATGTTTTATTAATACTAACAAAATAACTATTCTTATAAATAATTGAAGAGTGAATGTGGCAAACGTTCTATGTGCCAAAAAAGTGAAAAATTGTTTTATTTCTGATTTATGTTCTATGTGCCAAAGGCCACAATCTTGTATGTGTTTCAAATGTCAATTAAATTTTTTAATTGTACAAAATTGCATTCATAGATGGTGTTCGTTATGTGAGATATGCCCATGTTACCATCGTTTTTTATGTTTTCTGAACAAATATGTTTTTGGCACATAGAACGTTTGACATATTCACTCTTCAATTATTGTTCAAGACAAGAAAAAAAATTATCATATTGATAAATATATCATAGATTCAATAGTAATAATATATTTATCAAATTGAACAATGAATTTATTATATAGATCGATGTTTTTCTCTGGGTGTGGGCGATTTAGGGAAACAGCATGGTCGGTGTATCCTATCTTGATCCGGGTGATATCCACACCAGTGCAATGGTAATACCACGGCCGTGTTAAACTTACCAAGTGGCACACATTTTTGGGATCCTCGGACGTCAATTGAAAAAAAATTTAACCTCTTTAAACGTTTTAATGATCTTTGCAAATCATAGGTGCAATGTAAAATTAAATAATGTTAACGATTGCATAAACAATTTTTTAAAGTGGATTAAGGTAAAAATATTGGGATGGGGATTACTTGAGTAGCAATTCGAGTTCATTTAATATAGTAACAACGGTGCTGAACTCAGTTCAAAACCCGTTCATAGCACGGTTCAAAATGAGATTTGAATACGGAGTGAACTGAGTTCTACAAAAGTTCAGTTAGAGTTCATAGACCTTTCCTCGGTTTAGCATAAAAAAGTTCGATAACAGTTCAATAGTCATTCATTGGTTCAATAATAGCGTGATCTACGACGGTTCATTAAGTGTTCATTAGTTCAATAATAGCTACGGGTTTTAAAAGTAAATTTATAAGTTTTGTACATATTCAAAAATGTTATAATTTTAAAATAATATATTATATTACTATTTACCCAATGTGTCGTCTGTGCAAAAAATATATATTTTATACACATGATACATATACAGGGTGTTCAGTAAGTCAGGAAACGGGTTTCTATTGTTCTCATTGTTTGTAACAATGAGAACAATAGAAACCCGTTTCCTGACTTACTGAACACCCTGTATATGTTTATATAAAGTAATATAGTTAACCCTCGAATTTTAGGTATATTTTATTTTATATTAATAAATTAGTCATTATATTAGTTTGTATAGATTATACAGGAGTTCAAATATTAAGGAAAAGGGTTCCCATTGTTTGTAGCAATCGAAAAACTTGTTTTTCTATACTTATTGAACACGTAGTATAACAATACTACAGATGGACAGCGTACAGGCAAAATGTGATGTGTATAAACAGGGCGATTTCATAGAGTGAGTGGGGATTTAACATCCTTTAAACGTTTTTCACAAAAATACACTTTTAACTATAAATTCTAAAAATCTTGTACTCGATGCTAAGTTAGTAGGTTTTTTAACCTATGATTTTTATTAAATATTTTTAATTGTTCCTGTTATTAATGAATCTTTGATTAAGTTACATCAACATGACATTGTGTTCAATTCATAGAAAATTAACCACGTAACTATTTAAAGTCATAAATACCATAAATCAAGTGAATTTGCTAAGTGGTAGCTGGGTACATATCCAAAATATTAAAATAGGGGTAGGATCATTTGACATGCATAATTTCAAAATTAATATTGTGCGAATTTAAATAATCGAGCTTGTTTATAATGTGTTATGTTCAGAAAATTTTGTTTTGTTGGGTTTAATTAAATTCAATTAAAATTTTGTAAGTGAAGGTTTATTTTTATTTTTAAATATTAAATATATCAAAATAAGCCTGTTATGCAATGTTGTAAAAAATACTTTTAAATAGTATTTAAGTATTCACTCAAATAATTTCCAAAAAAATTATTTAAATTATCAACCAAATACTATTAATATTTATGTATTTGAAATAATCTTCAAATACAAAAATTATTGAAATTTGAAGTTATTTTTTTTAATAAAAAATTTGATGGTTGCACTTAAAAAATATATATTCAAAATGTTTATCAGACATGGTAGTCTTTTTTTAGTGATTGTAGCACCACCTAACACTAAAAAACATTAAAAGCTGATACTATGCTTGGTAGAAGAGTGTTGTATTTAATGATAAACTGAAAACAAAGAACAAATTTTTTAGTAAAATTATATTACTTATTGGATACTTATTCTAAGTATCCAATTAATCTTACTTTTTTAATTGTGGGCAAATTATGCAAACATTCTAATGTTTTTGCTGTAGATGTACCCAAGAATCTGTCAATTTCATTACTAACTGTTGACTTTTCCTCATGGACATTTTGTGTCCTGGTAAAGAAGCTAGATAAATCATCATGAATTTGGTCATAACCTCTAGAATCATTTTCACTAATATTTTGGTGCAACTCATAACAGGCATTTTTTAAATACTCGGTGGCCATTTGTTTTTTTACTTCATTTTTAATCCAGACAGTTTTAAATTGTAGGTAGCAGACAGCAGCAGTAATTAAAAATTTGTTCATCAAAGTATCAAAAAATCTTGTTTCTATACCTAAAAGAAGAGAGTAACATTTAATTATTCATATCAACAAAGTTTGTTTTTATTACACTACTCAGTGTACAAAAATATAAATATTCAGAATAAAACAATGAATATATAATAAATTAAAATATGTAGGAACATAAGATATTTATCAATATTATAGGACAAACTTACTTTCTCCCCATATATTATTTACGATTCTGTGCAAGCACTTTACATTTGCAGAAGGCTTCTTAACATTATTTATGCACTCCAATAATTTGAAAATTGAAGCTTTAAAAATATCAAGAATTTTTGAAGTTATGAACTTATTAAATATATAAAACTGCTAATTAAAAATTGCGTTAAATATTACAAAAAAATGTATAAATATGTTATTTAAATAGATTTACAAAGTGATTAATTTATCATTGACCACTAAATTTCTCCTAAAATAATAATTATCTTGGAAATATTTTTTTGTCTTTGTTGAGTACTATTGAATACTCAAATGTAGTTAAATACTTTTGAAGTGTATCTTTTATATCTTAAGCATACCAACTTATTATTTTTAAATGACAATATGAAACTTTTAACTTGCTTATAAACGAGATTATGGTCTAATTTAAAAAATTACTGGTCGATAATAACAATTGGACCAGAATTTCATAACTTCTTAACTTATATACTTAGGCGAGTAAAAATAAGCGACCAAAAATGTATAATGATAAAATCCGATTATTAATATACTACAAGAAAGCAATTGTATAGGTCTAAATTGAAAACAATGTATTGGTGGAAAATTCATTGAATTCAAGATATTTGAGAAAATGAATACTGAAGTCAATTGAGCCAAGTACTCAGAGCGACAAATTCATATAATCAGATGAACAAAATTATAGTGTCATAAATGTTCTTTGTGTCCCGCGGGTTAGAAATAAGTTAATAAGCAAACTGGCAATGTTGCTTTCATAAGTGCGTATAATTAAAAGGGACAGAAAGTTGAAATCATTCTTAAAGCTTATGAATATCACACGTTGCCAGTTTGCTTATTAACTTACAGTTTATTTTAATTTGTCTCCATTTTTAAAATATCTGTTTCATCTACTGAAAACGATTGTTTGAATTTGTCGCTCAAGAAAATAAAATTATTGCTATTAATAGACCGTCCGGTTGAGTTATTTTCCTATTTGTATTGTAAATAAATTGTATTAATAAAATATACGCTGTTCATTATATCATCGGCTTATGATACTTATGATTAATAATTTTACTATTATTATTATGTTTTAATATCAATTCTAAATTGTAATATAAATAAATGTTTTGGTTTCCTGTAATATATTGATTTTAATTTTTGCTATAAATAATTGTTTTATCTTTAATCAAGTTAATCAATTTTTTATTATTTGATGAACTTTTTTCTTTGCTCTGTTTATAAATGCAGGATAACACATTTCAATCTGTTTTATAATATTTAGTCTACTTTTTATTTTTTTAAACTAGTCTAAGATAATTTTTTTGACCATTTTATAAGCAATTGCAATATTTAACAAATAATTTTATGAAATAAAATTATCAAAAGTTTTATTATCATTTTATAGCAATAAAAAATTTTTTCTAAATTATTTTTTCGTTTAAAAAATATATGATTTCTGAACTTAGGGCTGTATTTTAGATATTAACCGACTTATTCCTAACATATCTAAAATTAAAATTTCACTCCCTAAAATTTTTTATAAGCTTAATTTTAATTTCAAGTATGCCAAATATCAGGTAATTTTAATAATTAATCAAGCGATTAAATTAAAATATGTAATATCAATTACAGTGGCGTACACAGAAATTAAATTGGGGGGGGGGGGTTGAAATTTAAAGAAAATTAGATGTGACACTCTCCATATTGTTCGCTTACAAAAATTCCTGTTTTTGTTTACTTTATTGTGGAAATATTTATGGTATGATATGATCTTTTTTATTGTTATTGTTATTATTTATCGTCCAAAATTGTCGCTTAGCTCATAAATTTTGGGGAGGGTTTCAACCCTCCCCCCTCTTTGCGTACGCCAGTGATCAACTATATTATTTATTCAACTTACATGAAACATTATAATAAAATTATGTTAAAAAAAAAAATCTGACATGCCTTAAAAAACACATTGAAAAAGTAAATACACGCCAAAAAGAAAAAATAGAACCAAAAAAATGGAATGACATTTATCAAATTGTTTATTTAAAATGACTTCATAGAGAGAATAAAACGATTTTAAACATGCTTTGCGTGGTATAACTTCATTTGATCTGTATTGATGCTATTGAGAAAATTATTTGTGAAAAATCAAAGAATTCATCTTCCCGACGGTTGTCGGTATTTGTGACACGTATCAAAGGGATTATAAATATTTGTCCAAATACGCGATAAGTGTGAACGGTCTACTCCTCGGTTATGTTTTTTATTTTGACGAATATTCGATCAAAATCAATACTTAATTTATTTATATTAATTGTTTTAGTTAATTTAATTATATGTTTTAATTAGTTAATTAAATAAATGTTCAATTTTATTATATTATTATACAGAGTGATTTTTTTACCGCTAGTCAATCAAGTACCTTTAAAATAATAAGTATTTTATAAATACATTTTTTTTTAATATATGTTAGTTACAAATGTATTTCTATATACTTGTTATAAAATAATTTTTAGGACCATTCCTTATACATTATACACGGGTGTCAACTTTATTTGTTTAAACGGTAACGTACATATTAAACTAGTTTATAATTAAGAAAATGACTGTCGATAATAACTTATGGACCAATACTTTGGAAGTTATTAGAATTTTAAAATATAATACTGATAGCGAAGCGCAGATACTGCTATTTTTACATTAGTCATTCTTCGGTCACACTTCTCTTGCCACTTAGATACAAAAATTAGAATATCTTATAAAGCACTAGTCTAAAATTTGTTGTTTTAAATTACCTTAATTTAATTTAATTACATTAATTTTTTAAATTACAAATGCTAAAATCGTTTTGTATTTTATAAGTTTATTAACACAATATTTATGCTCTGCATTTATTTCAATTAATAATTTAATAATATACTGTGAATAAAAGCAACAATTTTTTATGATTTGGTAATTTAACCTTCATTATTTATAAGCTAAAAACAATATTTTGAGATACACATTTTATTTAACTCACAAATTTGATCAATTGTTACCAACAGCAATGTTATTACTGGAAAGTCCAAATAATCAATAAAGGTAAACGAGTATTTTCTTCTTGCTTTTCTAAAATTTTAAAATATTATTTACAAAAATAGTGTTTTTTTAACTACGGCAGCCGTNGTAATTCTATATACGTTTTATTTAATAATGAAAATGCTTCGTGAGCTGCTATTTTTTTTCGTTTATTCATATATCTTTATAAATAAATTAATACACTATAATAATTAAAAAAAGTTTTAAAGTTAAAATTTTAAGCTAAAAAACACAACCACAAAATACACTACAATATTCTCCACTGATTGTCAACACTTAACTCAATATAGAAAATAAAAAATAATTTTACAAATTGACGAGTGATGGGAACGGTAATATTTGTCTACTTGTACTAATAGACGAACATTCAGTGATCTTTGTATATTCCACGAGTATACGACTAGTCGGAACAGTAATATTAGTGTACTTGTACGAGTAGACAAATATTCAGTATTCGTCCTAAATACGGCAAATAGACGGATAATGGGAACCCGACTTAAAATAGCATTTACAACGTGATGAATTACTTGTTAAGCAGCAATAACCGATTACCCTCACCCTTCAGTTGCTCCCACGCAGACTTACAAAACCAGTTATTTTATACTTTGTTATCGACGCATCGGGGGTACTATTTAGCAGTCGCTTATCGGAATTTATAAAAACGTTGTTATTATTAACGGGTGATAGGACTTAAATTTTAATTTTACTGTGTTCATTTTTTGTCTTAGTGTTACGATATTTACACGTAAATAATAATGCAAATATATTTATTAAATCAATATTTATAATATAATATATTTGTGACGAATATGAGTCTACAGCATACATTGTATTAACATCCAAACGTCCCAACCGTCCTTTTAGAAAGTAATTTTTTAATAGTCGACAAAAATTAAATATTGTCTCTCAAAAAAATTAATTATTAGTCAAAAAAATGAAAAATTTGAGTACGAATTTGAAGTTTATCGATCCCGAATTTATACGTAGTATAGGACATTATTAAATACCATTTTTTGATTTTTAAGACTCACAATGTGTTATAAGAAAATCTAAATTGTTAAGCGCATAATTAAAAAAATCTTTACATACATTACATTTCATAGAATAAAATTGCAAGTTTTACAAAAAATGTGTATCTCGAATCTTGGTCTTGGCGTTATTAAACAGCGTTTTCAAATTTCAGATTGACTATATATTTATATTTATTTATGATACATAGAATACTCCTTACTATATGTATGTATTGAGGGCGTGTACGCACTATAGTTTACTAGGTTTACTCGCACTATAGTAAATATAAACTTAAATTTTATATGAGCATTTCGATATTCAATTTTTTCTTTTCAACTTTTCGATCTAAAATAAAATCTACTATATATTAGAGAAGAAATGCATTTATAATTACCTCACTTGAAGGGCTAATTGTAAATTATTTAATTAAATAATTAATTTAAATTGATTAATTCTAGGACTATATATCGCCCAGTAGCGTATTTTTTTAATTCAGAGATAAACAATTTTTGCATATACGAGGTTATTCATGTCTAGTTTAAGGTTTGTCATAAATAATATAGCAATAAGTTCATAAACAAACTGGCAACGTTGCTTTGATAAGTCTATATAATTTTAAGGGATAAAACGTTATTTTCCATGTTGCCAGTTTGCTTATAGACTTATCTTTTATTTGCATTTACCACCTGGCTAGATTGACTTCAATGTACATTTCCTCAAAATCTGTCCATCGAATTAAAATTTATCAATGAATTTGTCGTTATTTTAGAAATAATTTTTTCCATCTGCTGAAAACGGTCATTTGAATTTGTCAACAAATAAACTAAAATTATTGCTATTAATAGACTTCCCGGTTTGTCCTATTTTCCCATCTGTTTATTTTCCTAATTATCGCCCATTAGTGTTGTAAATAGATTGAATTTATCAAATGTATGGTGTTAATTATGTCGGTTTAATCACATTATTCAAACACTACTTTTATTAGATTATTGTTATTCTTTTTTGTTCTATTTGTAACAGAAATTGTTGTTGTGTTTGTATGGCAATTTAAAATTTACATTTTACATTTTATTTATGATTGAATATACAATAATTTAATTACAGTTGAATAGCAAGCTACATAAAACAACCAATTCTCATAAACAAATCAACAAATCTGATATTTCATGTGTTGTGTCACCACCACTTTATTAAATATTTATCTTTGCGAATATACATGTTTATAATTGATAGGGACATCCGCATGCGGATGTCCCCTTGATTTCTTTGTACGACTATTTTTCAGCAATAGTCAGTCTAGTGTCTAGTGTCTACCATTATAGGACTAACATTATAATTGTAAAGCATATTCTTATTTTGAAGTGTTATTATGAAAGTTTACTTTATATATATATATACATTTATATTACTCTTGTAACGTAATGTTTTTCGTATAATACATTTTACTATTTATAACCAGTATTTCTACCGAGAGTGTTAAATTTATTTCTTTATAAATAATAACTATTTCTTATGTACATCTTGGAGGACTCTGTGCGGATAGCCCAATAGGGAATCCAGACGGTAAACCGAACAACAAATAAATATTAAAATTCCCTCAGGCGAGCCTTACGGTCCGCCACACATGGTAGACAATTATATTGTTATTTTTTTTAACACGCTTATATTAGTTTCACTTGTATGTTGTGTTTGTTGAGGGTTTGTTGTTTGTAAATCTCCACGCGCCACGTGTTATTATTCTCGCGTATCCCGTCGTCTATGGCCTTGAGACTAGACTGTCGTAACGCATTCACCCAACCCCGCTCACCTCCCCTCGTCGATAACAATATTTTCCTGTAAAATTTTATTTTTGGATTTCGTACCCGTACACGCGTGCGTGACATCAATTATATATATATATAAACAAATTTTTATTTTGACTGACCAATACCACCCTCGTATAATGCGCTTTACGTATATATATATATTCTAATTACTATTAAAAATATATATTAACACGCTTTATTCTCAGTAGAGGTATAGAGTGTATTCATTCCGATTACCAAGGATGATTCCCGAATCGTCATTTTTTGTCACTACCTCCATGTTCCGGGAGTGGGTAATTAACGCGCCTACTGCTTTCCTTGGATGTGGTAGTGGATTCTCAGACTCCTTCCCCGAAATCGAACCCTGATTTCCCGTTACACGTTACAACCATGATATTGATAGTAACTGCTATCATAACATGAAACTATAAAGTGAAAAATAAATATAGTTTAAAAAAACTAAAAAAACACGCTCTTAAAGCACATCACACTAAAAAGTTAAAAATAATTTTTAAAATAAGCTTAAAACAATAATGAACGAAAAATACTAGTATTATTGTGATAAAAACGTGGGTGCCTTGTGCCATATTTTTCGTTTATTGAGCGCCCGATTGGTATTATAACGACGTATTATTAACTATTGGAATTATCCAATAGTTGGATTGTCGTTAGATTTTTATGATTTTCCAACTTTGTTATATACCTATGCAAACCGAGTGATTTTTTTGCTATGGCAGCACCATATCACGACAAATTATGTACTTTCTGTCGAATCGGTAATCTATGATGATGGTACGAACAGCAATGCTCCGACAATGTTGTACTCACACTATGTTAGACTTACTAGCAAAACCCTACAATTGAATTTCGTAAGTCCAAACAGTTGTTTTCCAATTAACCAAAGAGTTTGTGTATCTTTTTTTTTATTTGCATTCTTTTTTGGCGTAAATACTGTTTAAGTTAAAGTACAATCTGAGATATTTAGCTGAATAATTTCGTGGAATTGTCTGTTGATTCAGTAAAATTACAATGAGAGAAGTATAAATTCAACATATGTACAGTTCATTGGTGCAGTCAGGAAGTGATTAAGGGCTTGTAACTCACGAAATGATTTGCAATGTTTGAATTTTAGTCATGATGATCTTTTTTTTTTTCTTATTCGAGTTTTCTTAAATAGCAATTCAGAGCAAAAAAAATTTAGTTAGCAAAAAATAGGGTAATATCTTAAAAATAATTTTTTACTTGTGCCACTGTTACTATTCTATATATAAGCGTATTATTTCTAGCACATATCTCTTTCTATAGGTAGTATGATTAGGTACTAAAAAAAAAACTATGGAAAACATATGATTAAAATAAATTTTTCATAAATGGTGAAATACTTGTTTTTAAGTAGTATTTTTAAACCCAAAAAAGTTTTAGTACCCAATATAATTTTCGCGTGTTTTCTAATGCATGTTTTGAAATACTTAATAATTATAATTAGGTAACATAAACACACAAGTAGGTGTAAATGTACATATACTTGACATGCAAATAATATTACATATTGATAAATCTTAAAACAAGTAGATACATATTATTAACAAAATTGAAAAATATGGTTAATTTTCTTTAGGGTTTCTAATAGTTCAGTTGACTTATATTATTTGAAACAAATTTAATATTTATCAATACTTAATAATTATAATATAATTTTGATTTTATCTGCTTATAAATAGGTAAGCAATGTATTTTTTTATAATAAAAGTGATGTATGTATAATTTTGTATTATATTTTACAAGTGTTAATGTTATAATCGTAATATTTGTAAGCATATTAATTATCATAAGCTTAAAGAGACTAACACAAAACACCACCACTGCGTGTACAATTTTGTAATAATAAAATCAAACTTTGTATGCAAGAAAGATTTCTAATTCATTACTTTACAATTAATAATTCAATAACATAATTCAACATTAGTTTGTTCAATTTTTAGGTTTTTTAGTTATTATCTTACACGTACAGAACAAAATATATTCTAAGACAGTTTTTGTTTGTTTTATAAAATAAAACATTTTATTTTAAATTTACTACTAGATCTAAATATATATATATATATATAACACACATTTGTAAACTATAAATTTTTTATGTTAAATTGAGTATTGGTAAACATCGCAAAAAGACTGACGAACATTAAACCTAATTAACAATAATTAACAATTTATATTTCTAGAACAATTATTTGAATTTTGTAAAAATATTTAATTATATATTTTTATTTTAAATGAATTTACATTAAACTCAATAAATTAAAAAAGTTTGTAAGACATTTAAAAAACTCAAAAATAACTTAACCAATATCATTTATGAAAGAAAAATTGTTTACTTAAATATTTATATTTAAATTTATGTTTGTTAATTTGGTTCAAAATGCCAGCCATGTTTACAATAATCCCTATTCACAGTTATCTCACTGGACCATATAGCTGAATAAAGAATTCCAAGAAGTTTTTAAGTTAAAACTTCAAAATGTTGATCTTGAAGTTTTTCGAGTTGGCCGAAAATTAGATCTATAAACTATAGTCCAGATCAATATAAAAAATATGTGTTTAGAAAAAGATTTTAAATTATTTTATTAAGTATTCTATGTTATATAATAGATGTAATAATTAAATCAAATCTCGTATAATATTAAAGTAAAAAAAAAAAAACACATCATAGTAAAATTAATACCTTCTCCGCTTCGCATCGAAGCTAAAAAAAATGAATGAATTATTTGAAACTTAAAGATGCTATAAGTTGGATCAAAACTGCAAATAGAGGATACTTGTTTACGATTATCAATACCACTAGAAGAGCGACTTACAGTTACATTGAGGTAAAAAAAAAAACCCCAGCACACGAGGGTCGACTCACAGTGGTGACGTGGCATAGTTGGATCAAGTATAATGATATCTGACAACGATTAAAATCACCATCATAAAAAACGCTTCGATGCAAATCTTTAGATAGTGTTTAATTTTAAAAAATTGGTGGATTATTCTAAAAGCTACATGATCTGCTATTTCCTTATTAATATCCTGATTAAGATATAGTATGTCAAATGAAAAAGAGATTATTAAAAAATATTATTTCCCATACAAAATTGTATTGATCCATATATTTTTCAAAAAGTTATAGCACTTTAAAGTAAAAAATGTAAATTATAAAATCGAGAATTTTCACACAAAAATAGCATTCGGTAGCCGTTTACGCTATGAAGACAAGTCCAGAGGTCAAATTTTTTTTTCAAATTAAAGTACATTACATTAGCTTTAATTTAAGATATATACAGGGTGACCCACCATTCACTGACAACTTAAATAACTTTTGATCCAGTTAATATTTTTAGCTGATTTTTTTTTAAATAATAGTTATACGATAGGTCCATAGCTATATCTCAATAATTAATTTTTTTACATTTTATTAAAAATATTATTTATTTTTGAATTTTAAATAAAATGTAAAAAAAAAATCTATGATAGCTTTTTTGTAAGGTAGAATTTAAGAAAAATTTTAGTAAAAAAATATCTTATTAATATTCAGTAGTAAATATTCTGTAGTGTTTTGAAGTTTGTGAAAATTTGAATTTTCATGTATTATTTTACGGTATTAAACATTGAAATACGTATTGAGAAAAGGACAGAAGAAAACGCTATCTTTTCAATATACTTTTGAATGAGAGTGATAAGTAATAATTGCCTTATCTAATTTCTTATCATGGTATTAATGCCAAGNATATACAGAGTGGGCCACTCTGTATCAAAGATATAATAAAAAAATATTATTACTCTTAAAAAAATTGTGTTGATCCATACACTTTTCAATAAGTTATAGCATAATAAAGTTAAAAATGTAAAATATAAAATCGTGAATTTTCATACAAAATAATAAATAGCATTCGGTAGCCATTTTCACCCTGAAGACAAAATAAAGTCTGAATTTGTTTTTTTTTCATAATAAAGTACATTACACTATCTTTAATTTAAGATATATATAAAAGTGTCAGACTTTCCGGAACACTTTCAAAAGTTAAGTGAAAAGTAATTTTTTGGTAAAAAAGTTGTCATTTTGAATCCCCCTTGTAGTCAGGTAATGGGTCAGATTAATAAAAAAAATATACCAAATAATAGGTAAAGACATCAAGCATCTATAAAAAAAATTATATTGATCCTTACATTTTCTAAAATGTTATAGCATTATAAAGATAAAAATATAAAAAATAATTTTTTTACAAAAATCATTATTTTGAAATGACAACTTTTTCACAAAAAATTTACTTTTTCAGCTTAACTTTTGAAAGTGTTCCGGAAAGTCTGACACTTATATATATATATTTTAAATTAATGTTAATGTAATGTACTTCATTACAAAAAAAAAAAAAATTTCGGACTTTAGATTGTCTTCACTATGAAAATGGCTACCGATGCTATTTATTATTTTGTATGAAAATTCACGATTTCATATTTTACATTTTTAACTTTATTATGCTATAATTTTTTGAAAAGTGTATGAATTAACACAATTTTTTATGAGAAATAATATTTTTTAATAATCCCTTTTTCATTGGATATACTTTATCTTCATATATTACACTTATAAATTATAAAACTTGTTAACAAAAAGTTAAAATAAAAATTTCAAATAAAATGTTCGACGAAATTTAATTTTTATGATTTATATTATTTGAAGTAATTCCATAATGAGTTCCTATGTAAAACTATACTTCTATACCAATAATAATATTCTCCTCTATTAATATTCAATTTTAAAGTATACAGTAATTATATAAATTGAAATGTATTAAGCTAATACATGTATGATCGTATTAATTTTATTAACAAAATTGACTCTTCCAAATATATGGAATTAATAAAATTTAGTGTGTCAAAAGACATGATAGTTAGAAGACACAAAAGGAAATGAATCCAAAATAATACGTGAAAATAGATTGAATCCTCATTTGCCCGGAAATCGTGGCGTTTAATCGCCCTGCGTGAATGATAATATGCGATTTGTATTGTTTGATTTAAGTAATCGGTCGCGTCCGATCGCCAAAAATCAAACCTGCGCGATCGGTTGCGTCCGAACGCATGTTTTTTGTCAAAGTGTGCATGGTTCAATTTAAATGTGGGTGTTTTTTAGTGATGGGCATAATCGAATGATTTCGATAATCGAATGATTAGTAATCGAGACATTTTCATAATCGAGTGAATCTCTCGAAAAATCACTCGAAGTTAAAATCGTCTGCTCGTATGATAAGAATAATCAACTATTATTATTTATCGAGAGAATCGAAAAATTATTTGAAATATGAATAAATATACCTATAGTAAATAATTATTAATTTAATTTTGCTTTTTTTATTTGTTGGTGTTTATTTATAATTATTATATTAAACTATAATTTAGGAATAATAATAACAATAATATATTAATAATGCATTATTAATAAGTGCTTTAAATAAAAGACAAGTTGTTATTTTTATTATTTAATAATTATTACCTATATTTTAAAAAAACCCGATAACAAATTAAAAAATAAAAACATAAGATAAGGTAGCAATAGCCGGTTTGACCATCATAATTAAAACACCTGATTCCACACCTAATTGATTTTTCATAAATTCACAACTAGTGAGATAATCAGAACTCAGTAGTTTAGCCAGTTCAGGACAAAACTTTGTTCTAATCGTCACATACTTCCCAAAAATGTGACAGATAAGGTGTTGTCATGAGTAGCGATTGAACGAGTTGAAAATAAGAAGACTCGAAGTCAACAATTTAATAATAATTCGACTATAATTTATGCTAAATAAAAACTTAAAAATAGTATTCTCTCGTTTCATCGTTTCATGGACATCATTCGAAATAACTTTTATTCGATTATATACATTTCAAGATCAAGAAATCATTGTTTTTATAATAAACGAGAAATCATTAGAAATAATCACTCGATTATAGAATAATCAATATTATTTTAAAAATCAGAATATCTCGATTATATAATGGATATGATTTCAATAATCGAAATATTTCGATTATTTTCATAATCGAGATATCTCGATTATATATCTCGATTATGCCCATCACTAGTGTTTTATATAAAGCCATTAATCGCCGCGTTTTTAAAAACGCGTACGCGCACGATTAAACGCCTAGTGTGTAAGCCTCTTAATACTATCGTAAATAATTTTTGTGAGTTGTCCATTTTTGAAACATTGTACGTTTTTTTTTTAATCAAAAAAATTATCTTATTAAAATTTAAAAAGAGAAAACAATTCAAATATTATTTGTATTTTAAAATTATTTTTATTTTCTATTTTTTAGGACTTCAAAAAATACATTACTGATTTTAAGTCCAACAATATGATAGTCAATGATGAACTGTTATACATAGCTAATGTTAAACTAGCTGGTTATTTGGGCTTAATTTTACTAATAGATCCTAATTCGCCAAAAATGTTTGGCTTCAATGTATATCACATCATTGCGACATTCATTTTAATTTTTTTATCTATTATAATGAGTTTTTGCATTGCTGGTTTATACTTCTGGTCTTATAACATCGTAACATTTTCCACATTAATTGAAATTATTATTAACGGTTGTTTTATGGTATATAAAATTTTGACTGTGATGCGCTATTCAAAAAACATTTGGAATCTTTTAAATTTTACTCGAATTGATTTTATGAAGTACATGTACCATGATAGAGGAGTTCTTGAAAAATGTCGTGAAAGATCTTTGCGAAGCACAAATTTATTTTCACTCATGTGTTATTGTATATGCTTAGTGTGGACGATAATTCCACTGATTTTAAGAAATCATTATTTGACAATAAAAACTCGCGACGGTATAGTCATTAAATACCATTTGAATGTGTATAGTGTATCTTTTATGGTCTCAGAAACATTTTATAATGATAATTTTTATGCATTTTACTTGATTGAGTCTATATTTGGAATGTGTTCTTTACATTGCTCAGTACTTTACGATATTTTTCTTATATCAGCATGCTATGCATTGTCCAGTCAATTAAAAACATTAAACAATTCATATAAATTATTAGGATTAAGAGCAACAAAAAAAGACAAAATTGGTAAGTATTTTATTAATTTTTCAGAATGATGAACTAATGAAAAAAAATCTATTTCAGATCTAAATAAAAAATATAACCAAATAAATGATCCGTCATTGCTGGACGAAATAAAATGTATTATTGTTGACCATCAAGTTTTGATAAAGTGAGTTATAGTTATCTTTTTTTCTCATTACAAAATTTACTGAGAAATTTTAAAAACATCCTTGATTTGGTTTAAATATTGAAGACTTAATTGCTACCTTCAATAATTTTATTTTGTACATTTCTTAAAATCAGTTCTGGATTATACCTCAATTTGCGGCATATTTTTATTGAAACAATAAAAAACTGTAGAGAATTAAATAATTAATAATATAACTTCGATTTTTTTAAATTATTTTACAAATTAGGTGGAAAATATGACTAGGTTCTTTTTTTTTCAGACTCTTATTTTCGTGAGCCCATATAGGGGTCATTGTCTTAATACGTGTCTGCTTAAAAAGCATTCATTTTTTTTTTTTGTTGAACCTTGATTTTATTCAAATAACTCCTAAAATTATAAAATTGTATACAATGTCGACTTCGAAATATTTTTTGCATATTTTTAGGAGTTATTTATTAAGACTAATGTACAATGAGATCTAAGATACAACAGACTCCCCTACATAACTAACATTGATAAAAAAAACCTTTTCAACAAATATTAATCTAAGTTTTATCAAAAAAAAATTTTTAGAAAAATGGAAGAATTGTATGATATTGTCCGACCAGTAATTTTAACTCAGTTGGTTATATCTTCAAACACACTGATATTTATGTCTTTCATGATTTCATTGGTATGTGTGAAATTTCAATATTATACATACTATTAAATATTATTTTAATAAAAACTATTGCTAAATTTTTAGACGCTAATTAATAAAACTGATGCAAACTTAATTGAAATTGTAAAAATGTTAAGTGCCCTTCCTATTTTTGTGCTGCAACTCTATTTGGACTGTTTTTTATTTGGAAATATTGATAAACAAGTAATTATTTATTTAAAAAATTACCAACACCTATTTTATTTTTGTGTTAGGCCTTTTTTAAAAAATAAAATAATTTAATATAAAATATGATTTTAGAATTACATCATAAATAGTTAATAATAGATAGGGGAGAGCGGGGATAGTTGTTACATGGGAAAGTTGTTACAATTGAGATATTTTATTTTTAAACTTCAATAACACTATATAAATCATTGATAAAATAATGCTACTAAATATTTTGTGAAAATATTGATAATATCATACCAATATAAAAATTTATTCGCCTTTTAACTTCGATGCGAAGATAGAAGGTATTGGTTTTACTAAGATGTGTTTTTTTTTTTATTTTTTATTTATTTATTTTTTTTGTGTCTGTTACCACTTTTTCTCAGCTCTCACCGAACGGATTTCTTTCAACGATACGTCAAAAGATCATAAATCGTATCTAGTCGAAGACATTACCCTTCAAAATTGAAAAAATTTCCCTCGTTCCCCGTAAATGGGGGAAACCTCCAAAAAAATTACAAATTTAAAAATCGCTAATTTTCGAAATTTTTTCAATTTTTTTTACTAAAAACTGCCGTAACTTTTTCAAAAATGAACATATCAATATAATTTTTTTTTATATAGATGCTTGATGTCTTTACCTATAATTTGGCATATAATTTTTGTAAATCTAACACTTAACCAGCTCACAAGGGGGATTTAAAATGACAACTTTTTTACAAAAAATTAACTTTTTCAACTTAACTTTTGAAAATGTTCCGGAAGGTCTGACACTTTTATATATATCTTAAATTAAAGCTAATGTAATATACTTTATTATGTAAAAAAAAAATGGCTTCATTTAGTAAATTTAATCAAATTAGTGTAATTTACTTAATTTAGATTATAAAATTACTCAAGGCACAATGTCTATAAATAAATATAAAAATTCTGCACCTAAGACATTATTCAACTGGTATAATAAAGTTATAAAAAAACATTTAATTTTATATATTTATAAAATTTTAATTCACAGAACGGTTATTTTGATAATACTTTGTAATAAGAATTACTTTTCTTTGTTATTTTTAGAATAATATACAAGAAAAAAATATACTGTGATATTTAACGCCAATATATAAATAGTAACCAATCTTGAGACAAGTTATTTAATTTTGACTTGCTGAAGTTATGCATATATTGTTTGGTATTTTACAAACAAATATATTGTATAATTTATGATATATTTATATATATAATTATATAATAATTTATAATTTATAAATATAACAACGTAAAATATATTAATTCATAAAAATTTGAGTAACTATTGAAGAAAAATTACTAAAAATAAAAATATAATAATTGTAACAACTGTCCTTCTTATCCTCTATATGTATATTTATGTATGAGTAATCATTAAAATTATTATCAATACCTGATAATAAAGTACATGTGTGGAAAATTAATTTATAGCGATTTTTTCTACTTGCAAATGGCTCCTTAGTATACTTATAAATATAGGACAGACAACTTTTTAGAGGATTTATAAATTTTTCTCATTAATGAATATTTTTTATAAAAATACACCTAAATATATTGATATTCTCCATGTGATAACTTTTAATTTGTCATTTACTGATTAGTAGTGATTTTCAATATACTGAATATTTATGTAGTACGATAGTATCATAGGTGCAAATTGGGAGGCTTCTGACATTTCTTGAAAAAAAAAATAAAAATGAAAAAAAAAAAAATACATAGGAGAGGGAAATTAAATTTTAACACTCAATAATTTATTGAAAGTTCACTAAATAATTATATTGATTTCTCTTGGGTGTTCATTAAATAAGGAAACAAGTGAATTTGTATAAATAATAAAAATAACAGACAACTTTTTTCCTTACTTTTTGAATACTCTGTATAATTAATTATAATTATTTCATAAACTTTTGTAATATTCTTTTAGAAAAACGATTTAAATTTTTCAATTTATAGCAGTGATTGGATAAATATGGATTCAAAATGCTCCAAGTTGATTTTGTTTGCAATGCGCATGAATAATGCAAATCCACTAACAATGAAAATAACCTATTCAAAAATAGTTAACTTAGAAATGTTTGTAAATGTATGTTTTGATATTATTATAATTGAGTAATGGTATAATTACTTATAATTATTAATGGTATTATATAGTTCAATTTTAATTTTAAAATTATTCATTTTTAATTGTTGTCCTTTATTTATTTTCATAGGTGATACGTTTGAGTTATTCGACTATTTCAGTGCTCATGAAATCCAATATGAAATAATATATAAGAAAAAACTTTTTTGTGCTACAAAATTGTAAATTGAATATTATATTCGCATAGGTGTAATAAAAAAATAATTGTTCAAACAAAGAACTTTTCTGTTTTTTGTTTCTTTTCTACCCTTAGACCTACAATAAAAAAAATTAAACAAAATTTAATTTCTAACATTAAATTGTGTTCTAAATAAATTAATGAATTTCTAATAAGAAATTAGAGTGTTTATAGTAAAAAATCTTACTTGGATAAAATATTTTTCAAAGGTCTAACATAATTTATTATTAAACAATACTATTTGATTAGTTTTTATATCTTTAAATAATTAAAAAAATAATTTGTCCATCATAGAATTATATTAAAGTTTTTTTTAAAAAAAGATACAGTCTTAAATAAGAAAATTTTTCTATTTTTAAAAAGTTTTTAATAAATAGATAGAATTTAGATAACGCAAAGATATAACACTATCTTAAAATTTACAACAGAATAATTGTGTTGTAAATTAAATATAATTATTATATTTCTTAAGTTTGAACATAACTTAAGTTATTATTAAAAATGTTATTATATAGATTGCTTTAATAACTATAGTTTCGATTGTTATAATATAAAAAAACAATTAAAATAAAATTAATTATCTTAATTGCGTTAGTAAAAATAATTTTTAATAAACACAATGTGTATAAAGATATATACTATGTTTGAATGAAATGACAATTGTTGTTTTTGTAAACGCCATTATAATATTTTTGTTGTTTTTTGAGACAGGTAATATTTTTAATTTCAATCAGAAAATGACAAGTAAATAAGTTACCAAATCGCTTAATTTACAAAATTATATTATTTTAAATTTTGTCGATTTTTAATTTCCTTTTGTTTCTATATTTTCATAAAATAGAAACGATTTAAACTATTGACACAATTGGATAAGTTATACTGTTCAATAAAATACGATTATGATTAATAGGTGCACAGAACAGGTCGAGTTATTATAATTTTAATTTATAGCATAGGAGCTTGGCATCTGAAGAGCGTTTTTTGGTCATTATCTGAAAATAAAACTCTTTATGGTCCCTTGCTTAAAGTTAAAATGGTTTTTTTTTCTTGGAAAAAAAATTATAAATACAATATTTGTTGGGTAATTTTTAAAATTTTCTTGTTTGTAAAATATTAATCTTATTTAAGTTAAAATAACTTTAGCATACTTAAATCTTAACAAGAAAAATTAAATCCTGTTCTAGAAATCTCTTAAAGATAGTGATTACACTCTATCCTCGAGAACTACCTATTGATACTTAGAGTTTTAAAATAACTATTTATTTTTTAGAAGTACTCTATTGTCAAATAAGGGGTAAAGAAATTAGTGACAGCAACTTGTCTATCAATTACTTTTTACCAGAACCGGGTTATTGTGATTGTACATATCAAGATCCTCTATGCATTTTAGGTAATATAAATACGTAATAATAAGTAACATGACTAGACTAAGGCCTCAAAATAAATGTTGATGAAGTCACTATTATTTTGTACAATATATTAGTAAGTTGAAAAATTAATGGAAGTTTGTCCAGTAAAATTCATATCATATCTACAAAATTACAAATATAATTTGTTTTTAATTTTTTATAAGTTATAACTGTTTGTTGCTGTATTTTATTATTTTTTTTAATTTTATGAAACTAAGAAAAATTATGTGTTTTAAATTAAGTAAAAAATTAAAAATATTCATTGTATTTTAAAATATAATGTTAACATTATGTATTTTAATAAATAATAATTTTTTTTGCTAAATATATTTCTAAAAGTAAAACATTTAATAATAAAATTCGTATGAGCTTTGGAATAAGGCCATTTTAGTTACCTAAATTGCACCTGCAACATGTTTAAATATGCATACATATTGATCAATCGTAAACAACCATTGTTATAATTTGATGTTACATATTTGAATTATAAATTTTAAATAGGTAGACCGTTCGATCGATCGTACATGAAAAAATTGTGTGAAGTTAGTGTAATTGGTCATGCAGATGTTTTATCACAAAGAAAGTTTACAGTACTAGGAGAGCATGTTTGCAAAATGGTGTGCAAAAAGTGTAAAACCGATGCTAAAAAAATCGAAAAGATGAGAAACCTTAAAGTCATTCTTGTCGAAAGTTACTGTGACATGGTCGATAAAGAGTGTTTAGATTTTTCAAACTTAATGACAGAATGTGGATGTATTTTGCGTGTGATAAGTTCCGGTGAATGTCAAAATATAGTCGTATATAAATTTCAAGCCAATTCAGAAGGAATGATCAAAGTTCTATCCTTTTAAATATGATGATTTTTAATTTTAGCATTTTAGTAATTAATATTAATAATTTTAATATTTTTACTTTTTACATTTTTAGTTAGTAAACTAGTAATCTTTCATTTATATTTTACATTTATATTTGTGTGTTATGATTTGTTAACTTTAATTGTTAAGTTGTTAAAATTTTTAGTTCAAAATCAGAGACTAGTTTTTAACATGTATCATATTTTTATGTAGGTTTTGTATACAGACTAAAATTATTTAAGAGAATTTTGTTTCAATATTAAAGATATTTTAAATCGGTGATACGTATCGTATTTTTCTATTGAAAATATGTTATAAATACATCTTTAATGTTATATAATATGATTACATAACAATCAACATGGTCTATTTTTAATTTTTTTAGGAATAAAAAACAAACTTATTTTATTGATAGTTTGTTATCGTTTATTATTTTATAGCACGATTACAAATACGATTAAGTGGTCACTAACACTAAAAAATATTTCCTAAATACTTATTACTACGAAAACTATTTTGTAAAACATGTTTTAAAAAACCTACGTTATTTGAATTCACTAAATTAAAGTATACTTAATTAGAAAAAATTTTGTTGATAATTTATGTTTTTAGTGATCAGATAAAAAAAAATATGCAAAGACTGCCGATTAGGGAAGATAATTTCTGTTCTAATATTTTTCTCGAAAAATAGTATATTTATAGAACAGTTACTTTTGTTTCTTCCAATAATTATAGTTACGTCAAAACTAAAAATAGAATTTGATTTAACTTGAAATTTTAACATTTTGAGAAGGGAAATTTTCTCGAATTTTCGAACAAATTTATTTTGAAGCATTTGTTATTTTAAATCTTGATTTCTTAGTGTTTATCATAAAAAAAAAAAATTTCGTACTTTATTATGTCTTTACTGTAATAATGGCTACCGATTGCTATTTTTGTGTGAAAATTCTCGATTTTATACATTTTTACCCTTACCTGTCCACAGGGGGGATTTAAAATGACAACTTTTTCACAAAAAATTAACTTTTTCAACTTAACTTTTGAAAGTGTTCCGGAAAGTCTGACACTTTTATATATATCTTAAATTAAAGCTAATGTAATATACTTCATTATGGTAAAAAAAAAAATTTCGTACTTTATTTTGTCTTCACGGTAAAATGGCTACCAAAAACTATTTTTGTGTGAAAATTCTGGATTTTAGTTTTTACATTTTCAACTTTATAATGCTTTAACTTATTAAAAAGTATATGGATCAACACAATTTTTTTAAGAGTAATAATATTTTTTAATAATCCCTTTTTCATTTGATATACTTTATCTTAATCAGGATATTAATAAGGAAATAGCAGATCATGTAGCTATTAGAATAATCCACCAATTTTTAAAAATTAAATACTATCTAAAGATTTGCATCGAAGCGTGACACTTTTATATATATCTTAAATTAAAGCTAATGTAATAAATCATAAAAAAAAAATGAACTTTATTTTGTCTTCACGCTGAAAATAGTTACTAAATGCTATTGTGTGAAAATTTTCGATTTTATATTTTACATTTTTAACTTTATAATGTTATAAATTATTGAAAAGTATATGGATCAATACAATTTTTTTATGAGAATTATATTTATATCCCTCTTTTATCAACATATTTTTTTTTAAATAACACCATTTCCCTCTATATATTTATTCATATATTACACTTATAAATTACAAAACTTGTAATCAGGATATAAATAAGAAAATAGAAGATCATGCAGCTTTTGGAATAATCTACGAATTTTTTAAAATTAAACACTATCTAAAGATTTGCATCGAAGCGTTTTTATGATGGTGATTTTAATCGTTGTCAGATATCATTATACTTGATCCAACTATGACGCGTCATCACTGTGCTGGGTTTTTTTTTATTTAAAATTAAGAATGTACGGTTGTTATTTTCAGGATATTGAATACAAGATTAAATTAAAATAGTGATTAAAAGAAATTAAATCATAACCTTAGGAAGATGATTATCAAAAGTATTTTGTGGGAAAATTTAAATGGTTACGCGAAGCAATCTATAGACTATAGACAACATCTATAGACTAGATAAGGGAGCCTCAACTTCAAAAGTACTTCATTCATTATATATACCACCTATTCTTACTGTAAAATTCATTCGATTTGTTTTATCTCACAATAATTAGTTATATAAACTTAAAATTCGATTGTACAATTTTTAAAAATACTGTCCAGATTATTAAGTAATTTGTGTCAACCCTGATTGGTTTGGGTAACATGTGATAAGCGGATAAATTATTTTTATTTACAATTATTGGTTAGGTTGTAAATATTATCTACGACCATAACCAGTTCAAAAATATCCGTTCGAATGACACATCTCCATAATGAATTATGTTACTCTTTCTTCTTTTTCACTGCGTACAGAAAAATTGGTTGAAGTCTTGTATAAACCTAAAAATTGCAGTAGTAAAGAAGAAATCACAATGTTATGCAGTCGTGTATTGGCTACATACAGGTACTCAACTTTCCTGATATTTTTTTGGCATCATTATTTTTATTTTGAATATTCAATGACAATTGGATATTATTCAATCAAGTTGAATTATACACAATAAGAAAATAATATTTATGTATTCTTCTTGTATTTCATTACTTATTAATAGCATGATGAATTTTATTTCTGTATTTAAGAAATCCGTGTATTCAAAATAAGCCACTGTTAACAGACAAACATGACGTTTTGGAGAGTGAAGAAGATAGTGAAAATGAAATTGAACTTTTTTCAAACATGCGAAAATTAAGCATAACTGATGAAAATACTCTTAGAAAAGTTAAGTAAGTGTTATTTTTTAAACTATAAATACATAAACAGTTAGATAAATGTACAAATCATTTAATATTTTGTTTATTTTATTATTGGATCTATCTTAATATTATTTTATTAAAAAATATTTTGTATATTTAACTAGATATGTTATCAGACAATATATTAATCACTTTGATTAAAAAATACTGTATAGGCTGGCATGTGTTATAAAAATAGTATTTTTACAGACAATCATACAGTAAAGACTTACGGATTATAATAACTTCATTACAAGATATAGGGTTTATTGTGATTGAAGATAAAATGTATACTGCAGTACCATCTGAAATTTTTTACTATAGACAAAATTATAAATTTTTTTGTCCAAGTAGAAATGTATTACCATCTAAATTTGTATGTATTAGAGTTTTTTTTTTCATATCTTAGTTAAATTAATATATATATATATATATAAATTAAATTGATATATATTTTTATGTATTAATTTAAAGTACTATAAACATAATTCATTAAAAAAGTCATGTTTATTTAAATAGGCTAAGTTTCAAGTTTGCTAAGTTTGCTCAGATTTATTCATTGCCATGTATTTTTAGATAAGTATTTNAAAAAGTCATGTTTATTTAAATAGGCTAAGTTTCAAGTTTGCTAAGTTTGCTCAGATTTATTCATTGCCATGTATTTTTAGATAAGTATTTCAATAATGAAGTTTGAAATTTACCTATTTAAATCTATGTGGGCTACAAGTCTTACTTTAAAAATTAGAGTCTAAAATTATCAAACATAATAGCAGTGTAACATTATAAGCATAAGAGCTTATGATGCTATAATGAAAAATGTATATAACATTTTAATACACATACACATTCCACATTAAGTGCAAATAGTGTTTTGAATTAAAAAGTGCTAAAATTCCTAAAATCAAAAAAAAATTTTCTTGCTCCAAATAATTTGTTTAACTATATTTTATCTATTTATAAATAAACAAGAACACTATACATTGCATTATTTTTGTTAATGTTAACCTTCTTTTTGTTTTGCTCATTAATATTATTTTAAGGGTGATTTTAGATAATTTGAGGGTGCCAAAACTCATGTAGCCACTTATGTCAAAGTTTAAACCTGCATAAAACTGAGAATAACCTTAAAATTATATTTATTAAAGCATATTTTTTGCATTAGATATAACATTTTTTTTTATAAGAAATTTCCTTTATTGAAAGTAGGTTAATAGTAACATGAGCCATTTTTTTGTGGAATACATTTGAATTGAAATTTATAGTAACTATAATTTTTTTTGAAAAAGGTTTAAGATAAGATATTCTATATATTTTTATTCAGAATTTTACTTTATTTTATAGAATTTTACCAAAAAAAAAAAAACAGAATTGAAACTTTCCCTAAAAAGATATTTTTAGTTCTAAAACACTAAATATTTTTTTCTTAAATTATATTATTTTTAACATTTTTATATTTAAGAATATCAAGATTTTTAACCTAGTAATTTTTTATTTTAGGATAGATTTAATGAAAAGAATATTAAAAATATTGACAAAAATCAAGTATGTTATTTATTGGTCATTTATAGTTAGGGTGATTCATAAGGCTTTGTTTTATCATAAATTAATGTAACTTGATAATTACCTTAGTCTAGGCTTATTTTTGAGAAAAATAAGTTTGCCAATTTTATATTACCAATAAATGTATTTTATTATTGGTTATATTTAATTAATTCATTTTGCTCCAAGTTGTGGTCCCATAGCAAAAAGTATTTTACATGTTTTGTTTTAGATGGTATGAGTTGTTAGCAATATCTGTTCTACATTATGTTCAAGGGAATTGTAGAGGTGGAATTCTATATGCTCAGAGCATTTGGTATTGTAAAATTGTCCAAAATTACCTTGAATATTTATAGTTAAAGTGCCTTCTGAGAAGGGGTCATAATTTGTCGCATGCTAAATATAGTGTATAGATTATAATAGTTGATTACAAGATAAAATAATGAGTAACTTAAATACATTTGGCAAATTTATCTTTCTAGTAAATAATTGATAATTAACCAGATAATTGCACTGTTGCTGAGTTAATTCAACTTATAATTAAACAAAGACTTTTGAATCATTCTATGTAATATAAATTAACATTTAATTTATTCAAAGTTTATTATTTTTTTGGCCAATTATCATTGGTAGGAAAAATCCCTAAAAAGTCATTAGGGTTACTGAACTACTGACAATAATATAGTTTATAGTTATCTTAAAATTTTGAATTTTTTAAATTTTATTTATTTATTTAATTTTAAGAATCCTTTTTATTTTTTATAATTTAATAAAATATTGTTTTTTAACTTTATACCACGACATCTGCTGTATTGTTTTTGATGATTGATTAGAAAGTAATGCAACAAATTTTGAGGCTGATAAAATCCAAGATGATGGTTCAATACATTATTTGTATTTATAATAGATAATCTTTTACATTTAACAATATTTTTTTTAAATTTATAGCTAGACATATTTTTATTATTAGGTTTTTTTTTCTTTTTATTAATAAAAAATAATTATTAATTTTTATGAAACAGATATTTAATTTTGTATATCCATCTTAGAGATATTTTTAATTAAGCATAATTTATTGATAAATAACTTTAATGTTAGAGTTATGAACATCAAAACACTATTTCAAGGTATGCAGATAAAAAATTATCAAAACATGTAGAGAAAAGCCCTTGGAAGTACTGGTCAATGAGACACTTACTATTCTCAAAGTTTGATAGTGGTATATTATTGGATAGTGGTTAGAATACATATGAAAGATAAAAAATAAAATCAGTTGTATTTTAATTAAAATATTTATATTTTCAGAAAGTTTTTATTCAGTATGTCCAGAAATTTTAAGTTACCATATTGCCAAACGTTGCAAATGTGATGTTGCTATGGATCCTTTTTGTGGAGCAGGTGGAAATATTATACAGTTAGCTAAAACATGTAAATTGGGTTAGCATCATTTTAATGATTCTTTATAGGTTTTTTTAATTTCTAGAACACAGAGTCTACGAGTTTAATTATTTAGTTTTTGTGTATTTTTTGATCAATTTAAAATATGGAGCCTATTTGTTATTTCATTAAACCTAAAAATTGTATAAAATTATTTATTTTTATGTTTAACTATGTAAGAGAGTTAGTATAGACAATAATATTTAATGCATGGGGTCATTGAGACTCAATCATAGGCAGTTCCGATTACTGAGCATGAGGTTATCTCGTTAATTTAAGCTTCAATTATTCCTTATAGTGTAAAACTAACTATTCATTCCTTATATATGAAATAATATTATTTAAAAGACTTATGTAAAACTAATAATAATATTTTTTAAAAATGCTTAATCTAAGACTATAAAATATTTAACTTTGTTGTTTTATTTTATTTTTTATTTATTCGTGATTTACAGTTATTGCCATTGATATTGATCCACATAAGATTAAATTAGCAAAACATAATGCTGAAGTTTATGGTGTTGCTCACAAAATTGAATTTATTGTTGGAGATTTCTTTATTTTAGCTAAAAGTAATCCCAAATTAAAAGCTGATGTTATTTTTATGTCTCCTCCATGGGGAGGACCAGAATATTCTGCATTTGATAACAAATTTAGTCTAGAATCTATGTGTGATCATCATTTTGGAGGTGGTTATGGTATATTTAATCTTGTTAAAAAAATTGCCCCAAATATTGCTTTTCATATGCCAAAGACAACTAATATATTTGAAGTATGTATTGGTTTCATTCTAAAATGTTGTTTTTTGTTATTAATTTGTTTTTAATTCCAGTGTGTATGGTTAGCAAAGGGTTATGGTAAAGTAGAAATTCAACAAAACATTATTAATAATAGACTTAATTCAATCACTGCTTTCTATGGAGAATTCATAGATGTAACTGATGATGAATATTAAAACTACTTTTAATTAACATTATCAGATATATATTTTTATTGTTATTTAATTTTTAATGGTGTTAAACAGTTTCTTCAAACTTTATTACAACTAAATGTACTTTTCTAAAATTTAAATAACTGACATTAAACTCGTAAATCGTAACTATGTATTTCAGAAACATGACAAGTTATATAACTTGTATAGTAACTCTATATTGGAGTTCATGTTATTATTTTTCATTTAAATTGTTTATACCAAGTTTTTCTTTTTAAAATGTTAAAGCATTGTTTTAAATCAGTGACTAATTTATACATAATTTTTTTTTTTAAATGTTTTATTTGTATTTGTTTTAAAATTTTAACTAATTTTGATGATGTATTTATCAGTTCTTAACACTATCCAATAAAATTAACTGTATAATTTAATACTGTAGTTACTTATAGATTTATTTTACAGTAAAAAGTTATTTTAATTATGTTAAAATATTTTACCAAAATAAAATAAATGTCAGATAGTATATTGTTTATAATAGTTTAGTTTATCAAATATCATAAAATAATTACTCATATGAATAATTTATTCATTATTTAGAATTAATGATATTCCATGTTACTTATTTAAAATTAAATTACAAATAGTTGTACACTATTATATAATTATTCTCTTTGTGACATTTACTAATTTATTAATTTTACATATAAATTTTATACGATATTAAAATGTTGTGGTGTTGTAAAATTAAATAAAAACTTTTGATTAAAAATGAATTGTAATAATTTTATATCCAAAGAATAGGTTTCTAATTGTAGTATTTGTGAGACTGTGTTTCTTCTGCTTCTTTTTCCTTGCCTTAATCCCAACTACTTGGGGTCGGCCATCCTTATCCTAAACTTCCACTTAACACGATCATCAACATCATCTACGCTCACATCATCCGTTCTCATATCGCTTTCAATTACATCCCTCCATATCTTTTTTGGTCTTCCTCTATCTCTTCTTCCTTCAACATCCATTTCTATATCTGTTTTTACAGCTTCCGATTCTTCTCTCATAACATGACCAAACCAACTAAGTCTATTTTCTATCCTATCTATGATTACCGCTACACCTATGCCGTGTTTATTATTATTAATTTTTTTTTTTTGATTGAATACATTCAATCAAGAGATATGACTTTCATTGGTTTCTGTCACATATTCGTTAATCGATTCCGTGATTAGGTTTTTGAGAGTGCCATGAGATTGAAAAACAAATTTTCAAATAATGATTCTAATAACTAAGATCACCCTATTTGATACCATTTGTTTTTTAAGCTGATGTAAGAGTTCTCTCCTCAACTCTGGTTGTAGATATCCCTCTATTCCATTCGCAGCGGTATCATTGTTAGGGGTAAATGCCATCATCAAACATTAATTTTGTGGTACCTCATATTACTGTAAATTTGGGTGAAGCGAACGCATGGGTGACCATGCGTTCGCTTCTACGGTGGCGAAAAAGCACCATGTTCCCAGTGCAGAAGGCAACGGGAACCACTACACTTAAATTTCCAAAGGATATACCAATCCAGTTGGTATTATCTAATCTAACGGTTGTTTGATTAGTTTTGTTTTAAGAACAGATATTTTAAATTTAAGGTTCCATTTTCATTTTATGTAATTATTCTTACCAAGTAAATTTTTTGTGATAGTTAATTGTACAATTTAGTTTTTGTGTAATATTATGTTCTAAGTTTTGTTCCAGGTGCCTGTCGCAATTGCAATATGCAATGCGCATATTTCTTTTACTGTTCTGTCAGTTTGTTTATTTGATTTGTGTTATTGTTAAATAATTATTGGAATATTTTTGTAAGCATAAAAAAGGTAATATAAGATAGCTTTATATTATATGTTAATGGTCACTTCATTCATTTAAGAAACTTATTTTGTGATAGTGACTTGTAAGTGATGTAGTTGTGTTTATAGTTAATTATTCCCTCAGCTATTTAAGATTTCTTAGAAAATAAATTATTACCTCTTTTTCATTGTAGTCAGTAAAATCACAGTTATCAATTTATATACTTATTTCTAGTTATAATTTATTTAAATTACTAGTGAACTCCTAGTTATTAAATAGGTTTATTTTTATTGTGGTTATTGTTTATTAGATTTTTTTGTGGTAGATTTATAAAATAAATATTGTTGTTATTCAAAAAATGTTATTATTGTTGTGCCAAAAAGGTAAATTTTAAATCAATTGTACAATCAAAAAAGATATATTTTTTTATAATTGATCTATATATATTTAGTATTTATTTGTGCCGTTGAGGCAATTTTTTAAATATTTAGTTACCAATATCATTGCAGTTACTTGTTTATATATTATAATTCTGTAAAATTGCATTTTATTATCAAATTATTGATTTTATTATTATTCTTAGTTTTAATTAAACATTTATTGTTACCTGGCCATTTCACTCCCCTGATTAGTGTAGGCGAACCCTCCCTATTCAGGGTACTTGTGTTTTGCTTCATTTTCCTTATACAGTTCACTTGTAAATATAGTCATAGGTGTCGGGATAAGCGGCATAGAAATTTTAGCCCTCGCCCTAACTGTTCATGCAAAAATGTATATAGTGTATATATGTCTATGTAAATAAGTGGTTTTCGTTATTGTTGTCTATCGAGTTTACTCCCTTCCTTTTTCGTTGTTGTTATTGTCAATATCTATTTTAATTGTTTGTTTGTGTCGTTTTATCGGCAACTAATGCCTTTGTACATACTGCACTGTCCATGGGAAAGTTGTTTTTCCATTATTATCGTTGTTGTGTGTTGTTCATGTTATTCGGCAACTGCTGCCAAGTATTGATATTTTCTTTTTTTGTTGTACTTAAAGGTAAATTCATTTAATTTAATTTATAAGTTTCTTTTGCTGCTTATGCAATTTATTCTTGTAATAGTATTTAATAGTACTTGTAATAGTACTTTTGATTACAAATAAAAATATTAAATTTTTATTCTATATACAACTATTGATTTCTTTTGATGAACCAACCGTACGTCTTCTCACAGGTATGAGGTTATATTAAAGACAAAATAATTGTTCTTTTTTTGGTAAATTAATTATCGAGCATTGCGCTCAATCATTATATGGTCCTTCATTCACGGATTGAAAAAAGTAAACTGTGACCTTTTTATATTATTTATAGTTCACTTAAATTACTATTCAATTTCGATTCGTTTTCGTATTTTTTTTTGTTTTTGTTTCTAATTAACAGTTGATTATTTTGCTTTAAATCTATTTTGTTAATTGTGTAAATAGTGCTATTAATTTAATATATTTTGAATCTACATCGGTTGATACTGTAGTTATCTCTGCGTTCTCGTTTCCCGAGATCGTTTATTCATCCTTTTCGTCGAACTACAGTGTCACACACATTCGTCGTCTTTTTAAAAATAAAAATTTAGTTTTATTTATTATTTTGTTTAAATATGTCGCCACCCGTTTCTGTCGCATATGTTGATGCAAAAGCTCGCGTCGTGCGTGCAATAAATCGAGTTAATACATTTGTTCACGCTATGAATGAATTCAACAAAGATAGGTTAAGTGCCGAGAAACGGGCCAAAATAAAAAATATGTTAACTGAATTAAATAATATTCGAAAATGTGTCGAAGAAGATGTTCAGTTAATGGAAACTGCCGTTGGTAATAAATCAGCGCCGAATGACGTCATTGATTGTTCGGCTAGTAACTCATTAATAGATAGTTTTGACTCGCTTTATTATGATCTTGCGGCGTTTGCTGATATTAATCAAATGTCTCTGTTTCAAAAAAAGGATGTAGCTTTGTCAGAAAATGTCACTATGTCTCAACCATTAGACGCTTCGAATTCTTTTTTACAAAGTATACAATATCCGAAACGTAAATTTCCTACCTTTTCCGGTAACATGAAAGAGTGGCAAAATTTTGAGCAACTTTTCACTTCAATCTTGTCGCATACCCCGCATATATCCGATGTCGAAAAGTTTGAAATTTTAAAGACGTCCCTCGAAGGTGAAGCGCAAACATTAGTATCTCATCTTTCGTTGACCATTGCAAATTATCATAGTGCGTGGGAGATATTGCGGGCGAGATACGGAAATAAACGTGATTTAGCTCGCATTCATTTTGAGCCCTTACTAGCTTCATATATAGTAAAAGCTAACGATGCAAGTTCAATAAAAAATTTATTAAATTGTATTTTGGAACATACAGCCGCGTTAGATAATCTTGACTTTGTCACAAGACAATGGAGTCCGATACTCATTCATATCTTTGAAAAACATCTCGACCGAGAATTACGTGCTCGATGGGAAACGACTGTTGGTGAAAAACATAATCCAAAATTAAATGAATTTGTAGACTTTCTACGTCGTCAAATTAGAACTGCTGATATTCATTCGATTCCGTATTCAACAGCACCACTATACAGTCAACAAAAACAAGTTGATAAACAAAGTAAATTTTCGAATGCTAAATGCCGGTCTCAATTTTCGTCAAAAGTACTAGCTACTACAGCTGCTCAGTCACTAGGTATTCAATGTATATTGTGTAAGCAATCTCATTCAATTCGAAAGTGTCCACAATTTACTAATAAAACCGCTCAAGAACGCTTTCAAATAGCAAAATCTCATCATCTTTGTATTAATTGTCTTGGTCTCGGTCATTCTTCTGTGTCTTGTTCCTCTAAAAATAAATGTCAAACATGTAATCGGTCTCACCATACATTACTGCATTTCGGGTCTTCGTCTTCTCCAACCACTGCAGCTACTTGTGATGAACCAAGTACTTCGTCGTTAGTTGTTAGAGGTCAACCACAGCGCATAATATTGTTGTCTACTATACTTTTTGACGTGTTAGCTGCAAATGGAACGCGAAAAACTTTTAGAGCTCTGTTAGATAGTGGTTCGCAAGCTAGTTTTATGACAGAACATTGTGCCAATTTATTAATGGTTAAAAAGTGTCCGTCAAATGTTAAAATTAATACTTTCGCTAATCATACGTCGACAACTGTTCGGGGAAAATCAAACGTTACTTTGGTACCTCGTGGTAGTCAGTCACCATCTGTACATGTAGAAGTTTTGATTGTTACTCATATAACAGAAGCTACCCCGCACACGTCCTTAATGCATAAAAATTGGCCACACTTAAATAACTTATCGCTGGCTGATCCATTATATAATGTGCCTGGTTCAATTGATTTGTTACTTGGAGCAGACGTCTTACCTGAAATTTTACTCGATGGAAAAATATCTGGTAAACCAGGTCAACCCATTGCGATGGAAACTATTTTTGGATGGACTCTAATAGGTCCAGTAGAACAGTGTAATAAACCAGCAATTACTTCATTAAATATTACTGTCTCAGATACCTTGGACACTACGTTGAAAAAGTTCTGGGAGATAGAAGAAATGCCTTCTACTCGCCATTTCAGTCTTGATGATAAAATGGCTGAACAAATTTATCAAGAGACTACAACTCGTGTCAGTAGTGGACGGTTTATGGTCACCATACCATTTAGAACTCCTCGACCGATATTAGGAGATTCTAAATCGATTGCTTTGCGTCGGTTTAAATTTTTAGAAGCTCGATTAAATAATAATCAGACTCTTCGTGATCAATACATTAATTTTATGAAAGATTATCTAACTGCTGGTCATATGGAACTTGTACCTTTAGCAGAAATTGCAACTGCGCACGCGTACTATATTCCTCATCATTGCGTACTTCGACCTGATAGTAATACCACCAAATTGCGCGTCGTATTCAATGCTTCAGCACGGACAAGTGCTGGTTTGTCTTTAAATGAATCTATGTATACAGGACCTAAACTTCAACCTGATATACAAGCTATTCTATTACGTGCACGGATTTGGAAGTATCTGTTCATCACAGATGTAAAACAGATGTACCGACAAATTTTAGTACAACCAACTGATCGAGACTACTTAAGAATATTTTGGCGTTTTTCACAAAATGATCCGATTAGTGAATATCGATTGTGTACCGTCACATATGGGACATCCGCAGCTCCTTTTCAAGCACTGCGTACCATTCGTGAGTTAGCTAACGTTGATGGCCAGTTATATCCACAGGCAGCTGAAATACTGTTGAATGACACGTTTGTGGATGACATAATTACTGGAGCCAATTCAGAAAAAAACGCTTTAGATTACCAAACCCAACTTATAAAATTGTGTTCCCTTGCTCAGTTTGAACTGCGAAAATGGGCAAGTAATAGTAGTCAAGTTCTTCAAGCTGTTTCTGAAAATGCAAGAGCAATGTCACCTTCCCTGTTACTTAATAAAAGCGAACAGTCTGATGTAAAAGTACTTGGTTTAAGATGGGATCCAAAAACTGATAATTTTTCATTCCTAACTCAAAGTACATCAACAACGTTGACCAAACGATCAATTTTGTCAGACATAGCACGAGTTTTTGATCCGTTAGGACTGCTCTCTCCAGTAACCTTCCTAGCAAAACACATAATGCAGCTACTCTGGACAGCTGGCACTAATTGGGATGATCCTGTGCCCACAGAAATCCAAAATGTTTGGAAACGTTACCAAACGGAACTTAAATGCATTGAAGATATTGAAATTCCCCGAAGAATAACACGTGATGAAGTTCTTTCTGTTCAACTTCATGCCTTTTGTGATAGTTCTGAAAAAGGATATGCTGCAGCTGTATATATTCGAATTCACACATCTTCTGGTATTTCTTGTCAACTAATTATTGGAAAATCAAAAGTAGCGCCACTAAAAAAGTATACAATTCCTCGACTGGAATTATGTGGAGCATTACTTGCTGCGAAATTACTTCGTTTCGTTGTTGAGACTATCTCTAATCGACTCAACGTCGATTGTCTTTTTGCGTGGACAGATTCTACCACTGTTTTGGCTTGGTTAAAATCTTCGCCTCACCGTTGGCAAACTTTTGTCGCAAATCGTACCAGCCAGATCCAAGATCTTACACCACCATCTATTTGGCATTACGTTCCTACTCAACAAAATCCTGTCGATTGTGCTTCTCGCGGGCTGTACCCTGAAGAGCTTAAAAATCATCCATTGTGGTGGTCAGGTCCTTTGTTTTTAAAGAACCCTCAGGAACATTGGCCATCATCTCCAACATCTGCTACTCATGATTCAAACAACTCTAATTGCAACATCGAGGAAAAAACTCAAACTGTTCTAGTTGTTAATGTAACAACGTCGATTATCGATCTCCTAAACCGATTTTCGTCTCTTAACAAGATTCTTCGAATTATTGCATATTGTCGTAGATTTTTAACAGTTCGTCGTAATCCATTGACGCCTTTTACAATTAGTATTTCTGCTAAGGAATTGTCCAAAGCTATGTTGTCAATAGTGTATTATGTTCAACGAGAAACGTATGCAGCCGACATCACATGTCTGTTAAATGGACATCGTTGTTCTAAAAACCTTCGGTGTCTGGACCCTTTTATTGATGAGTATGGTTTTGTAAGAGTCGGTGGTCGTCTACGAAAGGCAGATGTGCCCTTCTCTCAAAAACATCCACTTCTGTTACCCTGTCAGCATCGGTTAACTAACTTATTGATAGACTCTTATCACCAACGTCTACAACATCCAGGATCTATTGCGCTACAAGCGTCTTTGCAAAAAGAGTATTGGATTCAGTCTGCTCGAAAAGCTATACGATCACGATTGAGATTATGTGTTGCCTGTTTTCGAACAAATCCTCGTTGCTTACAACCAAAAATGGCCGACTTACCAAAATATCGAGTCCAACAAATAAAACCATTTTCAATAAGTGGAGTCGATTACGCTGGGCCAATCACTCTGAAGTCAACGCGAGGGCGACGAAGTCCTGATATGTCTGCATATATATGTTTGTTTATATGTATGGCCACAAAGGCAATCCATTTAGAACTAAGTTCTGATTTATCAACTGAAAAATTTTTAATGGCGTTTACGAGGTTTGTGTCGCGTCGAGGACCAATTCAGGAGATTCACAGTGACTGCGGCTCCAACTTTATCGGTGCTTCTCGTCTACTAAAAAAATGTCTCTCGCCACTACAAGCATTGACAACCTCTGCTGATTTCCAGAACACTGTACATGAACAGCTTTCCAAACGTAATATCAGCTGGTACTTTAATCCACCTGCTTCACCTCATTTCGGTGGGCTTTGGGAAGCCGGTGTTAAGTCCACCAAATCACTAATTTATCGGTCAATTGGTCTTCACAAGTTAACTAGTGAAGAATTTTCTACTCTTCTCACTCAAATAGAAGCAACATTGAACTCCCGACCACTTTGCGCGCTCAGTACTGATCCGAATGATTTCAATGTTCTAACGCCTAGCCATTTCCTCACATTCGAACCTACAACGTCGTTACCCGAACCGTCATTAGAAAATGTTTCGCTTTCCAAACTGCAGCGATGGCGTTTAATTTTGGATATACAAAACTATTTTTGGTCTCGTTGGAAAAATGAGTACTTGTCCAGCCTTCAGCTACGAAGAAAGTGGACTGACAACCATGATCAAATTCAAGAAAATGATCTTGTGATACTGAAAGAGTCAACTCATCCTCTTCATTGGAAAATGGGTCGTGTTCGTCAGCTGCATCCAGGCTCCGATGGAGTAACCCGCGTTGCAACGGTAGAAACAGCCACAAGCCGCTTTCTCAGACCGCTAGTAAAGTTGTGTCCATTACCCACATCTTGAAGGGATTCCTTCAAGGTGGGCGGTGATGTTCATGCAAAAATGTATATAGTGTATATATGTCTATGTAAATAAGTTGTTTTCGTTATTGTTGTCTATCGAGTTTACTCCCTTCCTTTTTCGTTGTTGTTATTGTAAATATCTATTTTAATTGTTTGTTTGTGTCGTTTTATCGGCAACTAATGCCTTTGTACATACTGCACTGTCCATGG